GGGCCTGTGGGCGGGCGTGTGGGTGGGGCGGGAGCAACGGCCGGTCTTTAGATTCAAAATTCAGTTTATCTGCCGCTACCCCGAAAGTAAGACCTAGCGGATCTCTGTAATATAAGACCTACCACCGAACTAGGTCTTATTTTCGGGGTAGGTCTTATATTACAGAAATCCCCGAAGATAGCGCTAGGTCTTACTTTCGGGGTAGGTCTTACTTTCGGGGAAACGCGGTAACATTAAAAAGGAGAATTATGAGAAGGAGAGTGAATGCACTCACCCCCATATTTAGAGCCAACATGTGACACTGAAGCTGTCACACATCGCCTCTATTGATCGAGAGCTGAGTGATCATGAACCGCTGATCACTCACTTCACAATTTTCTCTGTGCAGAGTGGTGACTGTCAGTCATCTCCCCCGTCAGGGATCCCCCCTCCCCTCTCAGTTTCTCCAGTGCTCATTGGAGGAATAGGGGAGGGGGCGGGTACAGCTGGCTCGAGAGAGGCAGAGCCATCTGTCTATCAGGCAGCGGAATGGATCCCGACAATATGGTCACTATCTTTCCTGGCTGCAGTGTGTCTCTGCCTTGTCAGTATATAGCGGGCAATAGGCCACTATTTGCTGAGTTTTGAGTCACAGGACTGCATTAGTAAATGTCCTCCGGTGACCCAAAAGAGAACTAACGCCAAAAAAGGTTTGGCCATAGTTCTCTGAAAAGGCACAGATCACATAGTTTAGGGCTACTCTAGGGGGTGATTATTAGCAAATTCAATGTTAGATGCACTAAGTTTTTACAACTTGCTGTAAGATCTCTGTGACAAAAGGTTGATCCTTCCCTACCGACAATGAGAGGAGGAAAAGAAGGTGTTAACTACATGGGTGCCACTAATTGAGTACTGATCTTACAGGAGGCCTTCGGATTTCCCTCTATTCATGGCAAGCCTTGCAACAGAGATTCTAGGGAGTCTTAAAGCTACATCACATTTAAACCGAGACTGACATTTAAATGTTTTCTAATCCCTAGCACCATCCAATAACATAGAGCTTTAGAAAAGAAGCACTACATATATGTTATTACCACGATGGCCTGTTTCTCCATTCCAGCAGCCATTAGAGCCATGACTACAGTCAGTATAAATTAAAATTTAATTTGGGATGAGGGCAGTTTAATATATATAAAAAAGAACTATTGGCAACTGCAAGTGGCACATTTAAAAACACATTAACAACTGAATGAAGAATTTACATATATGGATGAAACAGAAGCTTCTCTGTGGGCTTCTGAGAACAGAAACAGTAAAAACAGAAATGGAAAAGTAAGCCTGTAAAATACAATCATCTAAAAGAAAGATAAAAGCAATATACAGAGCTTTACAGAGCATGTTTAATGAGAGCTATGTAACCGGCACTCTCGTGATGATTTACTGCTCTTCCACTAAGAGGCCAGTATCTGCAGCACATTGATATGGCTTTACATTGGGTAAGTGATTCAAAACAAAGAGGTTCCACATTTGTGATGACCTGTTACTTTCAAGGAAGTCCCTTTTCTTGTAATGAGTTCTATTCTTAAACTTGCTGAACTCGTACTTAGCGATAGAGCATGAACTCTCTCTTCATGTATAGCTGTTAGATCAGCCTATTGACCATTAGCTCTTTGTGAGGAGCAATTAAGCCCTAGAAGGCTAAAATCCATAGTGTACATATTAACCTCTTCCCATTTACTGCTGACTAGACATCCAGCTGCCGATGCGCCCTTCTTACCTTCTGAGGTGCTCGTGTTCTTTCAAAAACAACTCTGTTCTCCTGTTGTTCACCCCAGATCCAGTTTTGTAAGATCTGTCAGGAAAAAAGGAAAAGGCTTAACTTTATGGAGGTAGAACAGTTATTGGGCAAGCTGAGACTATTTTTTTTTTTAAAACACAGACAAAATTCACAAGCTACTTCTTCATCCACAAGAAGATTTACAGCAATTGATTTATGGAGCGCCAACATCTTGTGCAGTGCTAGTAAATAAACGGGCCGTGACATATGCACACAAATACAGTATGAAACAGAGGAATGAAAAGCCTGTCAGTAAACTTTTCACCATATATCTGTGCATTTCAAATATTAGGGATGCACCGACACCGGTTTTCGATATTTACCAATACCGATATCGCTACTTACGCTATGCCCGGGAAGCCATCTCTATGCTGTTTGGACGGCTCAATGCTGATTGGCTGGGAAGCCGATCAATCAGCATCAAGCCGGCCAAACAGCCAACTCAATGCCAGCTTCCCAGCCAATCAGCATCGAGCCGGCCAAAAAGCAGGAGCCAGCTTTCCGGCCAATTAGGAAGCTTCCCAGCCAATCAGCAGCGAGCCAGCTTCCTGATTGTCTGGTACCGGGAGTTAGTATCGGAACATTTGCGAGAGTACAAGTACTCAGAATTGATACTAGTATCGGTGCATCCCTAATATAATACACACGTCAATCAAAAAGTAATGCCTCCATGTCTGTAATTTGAGACCCATTAGAGTGACAACGAATGTTCATGTACAATGTTATAGAGGTGTCCGTACCCAGCTGCCAGCTCATTATTGTGCTAGAAACAACAGAAGTAACAACTAAGGACCACATAACACACAATGTTGAGCTTTAATGGTCATGTTTAAAAACCTAATCAAACTACTTCCTAGCACAAAAACTTTAAAAAGTCAGCAGCAGCATCCCATGTGTTCTCAAATAATAATGAAAGAACGTCACAAATCAATCTTCTCAGATAATAATTACATTTATAGGTACAAGAACATAGAGTGCACAAGGCTAGACACCTAGGAATTGCTGGGTCTCTAGATATAGAAACTAGGCTTTATTCATAAAGTGGCAGATGGAAGCATTGTAACTGCTCAATACTACTCAGATTCCTTGTTTCATTCTCCCATGCTGCAAAGGGACATTGGTACTTTTTTGCTGTGGAGCAATAGACGGTCTGAAACACTTCCCATGTCAGACCCTTTGGCAAACAATCTATAACCGTTTCACAAGACTAAGACAATTTGTTATGTAATAAGGTGCATAGGCACTTCTTCACCCCAGTAGACAATACATCTAAACTTCTCACTGCTTTTTCCTTTCCGTGCATTTCTGAATTGCTTTAGAAGTGCTGAAGAAAGCTGAATAATGCATGTTTCCCCTTCACAAGCAAAACGGCACCAAACAGTAAAATAATGCAGACAGCCAACTGTTTCGAATCAGACACATGCTGTCTGGTAAAATTGCAAAGAATGATAGCCAGCCTGATAGAGACTCATTATCTTCAGTTTGGAGACACTGCACAGGATCGGCTATAGAATTAGTAGGTGTATATTGGTAGAACTGCTGAGAACGCAAAGGGGGCTTCGTTTTAGTTAAGACAACCCTTTCCGTATAAAAAGAAATGTGCATTTGCAAGCAGAATGTAAAGGTGCCCATACACCTTACGATTATCGTACGATAATCGTATGCGATCGACTTTTCGTACGACAATCGTAACGTGTGAATAGAGTGCCCGACCGATAGTACTGTACAATCGTACGACTTTTGGCGGTCAAGCATGTTTGAAAACTTTGCTAGATCGTACGATTTTCGTAAGGTTGCTGGCGTTTCCGTCCGTCAAAAGTCGTACGATCTACACTGCGCTTGCGCTAACGAAAATACGGCAAATCATTTACCGCATTTCGTCCAGGTGCTTTTCGTTAATTATGGCTAAATTAATCTTGCGATCATCGGGGCAGGATGGGGCCGTTGTACGAAAATCGTACGACGGTTCGATCATCGCCCGAAAAGTTTCGTCCGATAATCGTAAGGTGTATGGGCACCTTAAAGCAGGAGGAAGCCTTCAGTGTCTGCAAGCACATCCCAAGGCATTCTTGACCACCCTGAAACACCCAAAACACAGTGTTCTGATACCCATATACAGTAACTAGAGGTGCACTAAAATTACATTTTCAAAACGAAACAAAACCAAAAATAAAAAAAAGTCAGGCCGAAAACCAAAATAAAATTTTCTAACCTTTTAAAATTTTTTTTTAATATTTTTATTTATTTTTACTTTACTGTTGGGGGCTTCAGGGAAATATTGGTTGTCTAAACAGACCCCTGATATTTCCTTTTTAAAATAGGAAAAGAGATTGGGAACACAGAGTCCTCAATCTCTTTTTCTGTTAAAAATAAACAGGAATCCTCGATACTGAGTGTTCCTGTTCATAACTTGTGGAGATAGTATGTTTACAATGTCCACAATCATGAATGAACAGGAAATTATGTAGATCACTTCCCATTCATTCATAATTGGGGACACAGTAAACATACTATGTCCTCAATAATTTACAAACACTCAGTGGTCACTTACTGCTTGTACCCGCTCTCCGTCCTGGATGGGCTGTCACAGGAGGCTGAGCAAGCGGTGCGAGGAGGAGAGCTCAATCTCCTCTGACAGCTGACTACTCCCCTGCACCGCCGGCCCTGCCTCCTGTGACAGCTGTCTCCGCCCCCACACCACTACTCTCCTGATCTGTCACAGGGGGCTGAGAGGGGTGGGGCGGGAGGTGAGCTCAGCCTCCTGTGACAGCACTGACAGCTGTCTCCACCCCCACACCGCTCTCCTAATCTGTCACAGGAGGCTGAGCGGCCTCCTGTGACAGTTTCTCTCCTTTCCATTGGAAGCTGCGCTGTGTCAGAGGGGACACAGAGCAGCACCCAACAGGGAGGAGAGAAACCAGACATGCACCACTATTTCAGCTGAAAGATGGCACTTTGGGCCGTTTGCCAAAAGTGCAATTTTCGGCCGATATGCTTCGGGGGCCGAAATTTCGGTGCATCCCTAAGGGTAACAACCTGAAGCAACCTCAAGACAATGACTAACACGTCACCTCCCACCTACATGGAAGTTGCATATCTTAGAGCCCTAGGTTTTGGAGATTTCTGGGAGGTAGCACTAGAGAAACCCATTTGCACAAACACGCACAAAGACCAAGTTAATATTTATACTGAGGCGCAAGTAAATCTGTAGAGGATCTTTATGTTAAAGCATTTTTATCTCTTCAGCAGTTTTAAGCAACTTGGTAAACGGAATATTTTAGCCAACACATGCAGTGCAGAAATAATAAAACCATAAAGTGTACAACGACTTCCAGCACTCCTGTGTAGTTTCTTGCTAAACGTTGCCATGGAAACCATACTGTTAGAGTATTTAAATATACATGTCAGGGTTAGAGAAGTGAGACAAGCACCATTAGAAGTTCCTTTAAAGAGCAGCCAGCAGCATAAAAAGTGCAGTAAATCACAGAAATGAAAGCAATGCTATGCACTGACCACCGGTTCCCTAACATCATTTGTGACTTACTCAATATCCTTCCGTACTGATCCCATGAGATCTTCCCTTTCTCGAATTGCCTGGAAATTGGCTTTTGTTTTGTGGAATTCATGTGTGTAATCCTGTAAAGCAACACTCACATCTATTAATATATAGACTGCATTACTAGTTATTCGAGCTTTAAGGAATAGAAGTAATGCGATTAATATACAAAACAGCATAAAAGATATATAACAAGACTTATTACTGCAGATAATTGAACTGAAGCTATTACCTACAATAATACTAATGCATACAGAACAAAATGTTAAGATGGAAAAGACACTGCTATGAAGCCCCGTGATGTCCAATACTATTTATTTATACGAGAATTCTTTCTCTACCAATCAGTTTGCGAATGGATAGAATAATGAGATGAAACCTAATGGTTCACTTTAGCGAGTCATTAAATGAGTCAGTGACATGACTGTCGCCATGAATGTAAGACTTTATTCCAGTACTGGACATAACTGTTGTGGCCTATGTTTTCAAGGGTATGTAAAACCTAACAAACAGCTTCTCTTATTTGCGCCTTTCTGCTCTGTTAAATATACCATTGAAAGCGCTTTGGTAGACCTGTTTTATAAGTGCAAAAAACAACTGTTGATCCTTCCAGAAGTTTTGTGAGCTTACTTCCTGTGCTCTCTGCTAGTGCTTCACTCTTATCAGTTACACTGTTTCCAGCTATCTGTGTGGAATACAAAACACCTCCCCTCATGTTATGAGGATGAGAGGGAGGGGTTTGGTAGTCCTGTCCTAGAGTGTCAACGCTGCTCCTTAATAGATACAGCACAGTGAGGATGTGTGTTGTCAACCTAGGACAGAAAGCGTATGACTGGCAGGACTTCCAGGTGAAATTAAAGGGAAAAAGCCTGAAAAAAGAATACTAATGTAGCTGCCATATCCAAGGACTGTTAAACTGCTGTATATCACATTTTTGTTCTTCAATACACTTTAATACTAATAGCTCAACTTTCACTGGCAAATTACTACACAAGACTAACACACTCTGCACAGGTATCACTGGTAGCTTACTTGGTGTTCATTTTTTTTTTTCATACTGGAAAGTAGAAAATACAGGAAATACAGCCTCACCTGCATCTAAACTGGCCATATAACTTCAGCCTCTTTTTAAAGAATGAACTCTTCTCATGAGAAAAAAAAGCACTTAACATGTATGGAGTCTTCACTGACGATCTTGTATGCATGTGGAAAAAAATTAAAAATAGCGCGTGGCCACTTTTCAGTATGTGTTAGATGTCAGAGGTGGGGGGAGGCACACATAGCGTACCTTACACTGACTCAAAATGAACTTAAAGGGAATGTACAGTATTTGTAATTTATTCTCTTTATTATGTATCAGGGAGAAGTATTGGTACGCTTCCCAATACTTAAAGCCGGCGTGTGACACTGCAGGTGTTATATGCTGCCAGTCATCTCTCCCCACAGGTTTCCCCCCTCTTTATTCCTCCAGCACTCAATAGAGGGACAGACAGGTGAGGGGGCGGGCACAGCTGGCTCTGGCTCAGGAGAGGCAAAACCAGCTATTAATCAGGCAGCGGGGTGGATCCCGACAATATTGTCAGTCTTCCCCAGCTGCAGCACAGCTCTGTTAGCATATAGTGGGCAATAGCGCAGTGCATACCAAATCAAGAAAAGCCAAACAGTCTTCTTTACCTTGGAAGAAATGCCTTAGGGGTAAGTTCATCAGACTTAGAATCAGCTAGAGCAGGGATCTCAAACTCAATTTAGTCGGGGGCCACTGGACACATTTTTTAGTCCCGTGGGGCCCGCTACTATATACGGTACCAGTTTTAATGTATGCACATTACAAGCGGCAACTGTCACCGATTCAAATTAAAGATTGGGTGACAGCTGCTGCATGTACATGCCTGCGCACCGCATGTAATCATATGTGAAAGGACCCCCACACACACACAATAATACACCCCCCTTCCAATCCCACCCTCAAACATAATAATACACTACCTCCCCCCTCACAAATATTAAACTTCCCCCTCCTCGCTCCCTTCCAAGCCCCCAGCACACATATTACACTTCCCCCTCCTCCCTCCCTAGCCCCCAGAACACATAATACACTTCTCTACAGGTAAAGATTCCAGGCAAAGCTTACCCAGAGTACTAGGCAAAGCAGAGCCAAGCTGAGGTTCTAAGCAAAGCAGAGCCAAGCTGAGGTTCTAAGCAAAACAGAGCCAAGCTGAGGTGCTAAGCAAAACAGAGCCAAGCTGAGGTGCTAAGCAAAGCCAAGCTGAGGTGCTAAGCAAAGCCAAGCTGAGGTGCTAAGCAAAGCCAAGCTGAGGTGCTAAGCAAAGCCAAGCTGAGGTGCTAAGCAAAGCCAAGCTGAGGTGCTAAGCAAAGCCAAGCTGAGGTGCTAAGCAAAGCCAAGCTGAGGTGCTAAGCAAAGCCAAGCTGAGGTGCTAAGCAAAGCCAAGCTGAGGTGCTAAGCAAAGCCAAGCTGAGGTGCTAAGCAAAGCCAAGCTGAGGTGCTAAGCAAAGCCAAGCTGAGGTGCTAAGCAAAGCCAAGCTGAGGTGCTAAGCAAAGCCAAGCTGAGGTGCTAAGCAAAGCCAAGCTGAGGTGCTAAGCAAAGCCAAGCTGAGGTGCTAAGCAAAGCCAAGCTGAGGTGCTAAGCAAAGCCAAGCTGAGGTGCTAAGCAAAGCCAAGCTGAGGTGCTAAGCAAAGCCAAGCTGAGGTGCTAAGCAAAGCCAAGCTGAGGTGCTAAGCAAAGCCAAGCTGAGGTGCTAAGCAAAGCCAAGCTGAGGTGCTAAGCAAAGCCAAGCTGAGGTGCTAAGCAAAGCCAAGCTGAGGTGCTAAGCAAAGCCAAGCTGAGGTGCTAAGCAAAGCCAAGCTGAGGTGCTAAGCAAAGCCAAGCTGAGGTGCTAAGCAAAGCCAAGCTGAGGTGCTAAGCAAAGCCAAGCTGAGGTGCTAAGCAAAGCCAAGCTGAGGTGCTAAGCAAAGCCAAGCTGAGGTGCTAAGCAAAGCCAAGCTGAGGTGCTAAGCAAAGCCAAGCTGAGGTGCTAAGCAAAGCCAAGCTGAGGTGCTAAGCAAAGCCAAGCTGAGGTGCTAAGCAAAGCCAAGCTGAGGTGCTAAGCAAAGCCAAGCTGAGGTGCTAAGCAAAGCCAAGCTGAGGTGCTAAGCAAAGCCAAGCTGAGGTGCTAAGCAAAGCCAAGCTGAGGTGCTAAGCAAAGCCAAGCTGAGGTGCTAAGCAAAGCAGAGCCAAGCTGAGGTGCTAAGCAAAGCCGAGCCAAGCTGAGGTTCTAAGCAAAGCAGAGCCAAGCTGAGGTGCTAAGCAAAGCAGAGCCAAGCTGAGGTGCTAAGCAAAGCAGAGCCAAGCTGAGGTGCTAAGCAAAGCAGAGCCAATATGAGGTGCTAAGCAAAGCAGAGCCAAGCTGAGGTGCTAAGCAAAGCAGAGCCAAGCTGAGGTGCTAAGCAAAGCAGAGCCAAGCTGAGGTGCTAAGCAAAGCAGAGCCAAGCTGAGGTGCTAAGCAAAGCAGAGCCAAGCTGAGGTGCTAAGCAAAGCAGAGCCAAGCTGAGGTGCTAAGCAAAGCAGAGCCAAGCTGAGGTGCTAAGCAAAGCAGAGCCAAGCTGAGGTGCTAAGCAAAGCAGAGCCAAGCTGAGGTGCTAAGCAAAGCAGAGCCAAGCTGAGGTGCTAAGCAAAGCAGAGCCAAGCTGAGGTGCTAAGCAAAGCAGAGCCAAGCTGAGGTGCTAAGCAAAGCAGAGCCAAGCTGAGGTGCTAAGCAAAGCAGAGCCAAGCTGAGGTGCTAAGCAAAGCAGAGCCAAGCTGAGGTGCTAAGCAAAGCAGAGCCAAGCTGAGGTGCTAAATGACAACTTCAATGAAAACAGTTTTCTCCTTTTAGGAGCGGTAAAGTGACTGATGCCTTCCAGTCTTTTTTTCACGTGTCCAGGACTTATGTTGAAATCACAACTCACCCTTGAAGGTGACAGGACAAGCTTCGCCCGTCAGCCAGACTATCATTGCTATGGGCCTAAGTGAATCCTTCATATGTTTCTATAGAGAATCCTGTATTGGGCAAGTAATATAGCAATGCTGTTGACTGCCCTCTAGTGGACGTCTGATAAATGAAAAGCATGTGAATCAGAATTCTCTGTTTCACATCTGGAAACGAATCACAGGAAGCTTTTATTTTCTAAACAGCCAAAGAAAAAACAACTGGAATTCAACTAGTTGATCTAAGCAACACATGCTTGAGTTTTCAAAGTGCCTATTTTTAAAGCTGACCTCTGGGCAGCTATAAAAAAAAACACAAATAATGCAGGTACATCATTAAGTGTATTATTTAATATGCAACTAGTGGAAATACCTGAATTAGACTAAACATGAACCCATGCAGTGGGGCTACCCAAGCACTGCGAGGGTTAACTGCTCGTTTGGTCTAGGGTCTAATAAAAAAAACATGTACTCTGCGGATCCTCGGTCCTGCGGCGATGACCGCTCACCTCCACCTCCGCTCCAGTTGTGGAATGTCCCTCGGTGTCCTCATGTCCAGAGCAAGTGAATAGACGTGATGACATCACGGTTCCCTAGACCACTAGGGTCCAAGGGAGTAGAGGCTGCAGGGACTGTTCTAATAGCCAAGCAGGACCGAGAATCGGGTGAGTATATAATTTTTATTTTAGACCCTAGACCAAAACGAGCAGTTAACCCTTGCAGTGTGGGGGTAGCCCAGCTGCAAGGGTTAATGTTTAATCTGCCTGGAATAATTATTTAAACTCCCCTATACAACAGAATTCTGACTCAGAGCCAATCAGGTGTAATGCATACTGACAGGAGGTAAGAGCAGACTGAGAAAATAAAAATGGCCTCATCAGTCTGTTGCTGCTCTGTTACTGGGCAGTCCGCAGGCTGGGGGTGGAGAAAGGACACCACTGCATCCCTTCTACAGTCCATACCTGCCTGGGGGTGGACAAAGGACACCACTGCATCCCTTCTACAGTTCATACCTGCCGGGGGTGGAGAAAGGACACCACTGCATTCCTTCTACAGTCCATACCTGCCTGGGGGTGGACAAAGGACACCACTGCATTCCTTCTACAGTCCATACCTGCCTGGGGGTGGAGAAAGGACACCACTGCATCCCTTCTACAGTCCATACATGCCTGGGGGTGGAGAAAGGACACCACTGCATCCCTTATACAGTCCATACCAGCCTGGGGGTGGAGAAACGACACCACTGCATCCCTTATACAGTCCATACCAGCCTGGGGGTGGAGAAACGACACCACTGCATCCCTTATACAGTCCATACCTGTAAAGGTAAAGTGGTGTCTTCTGCCTGGCTGTGCGGCAGGGAAGTATAAATCTCAAAACTGAATGTACACAAAATACAAATACTCTGGCAAGTGAAAGAGCTCCCATATATGTATTTGTGGATATTTAGCGGTTTGCATGGAGCTCAGCATTAATTATTCTCATAGGCAACTTTGAATTTGATCTTGATTGAAGGTTTGAATTGATAAGGCACAACATGAGGTCAAACATGTTTTGTAATGACGGCTGTCTTTAGATGGGACAATTTATTGAATATTTGAAGTACATTCTTTGAAAGTAAATGAACGGCAGGAACAGGTTTTTTGATAAGTATTAGAGACTCTTCCGATACTCCAGTAACGGGTCATTATATCTGATTGTTTGTGCTTTGAACAGTAGCAGATATATTTTAGATGGTATCTGCCCTGTGATAAATTACCGCTGAACAATTATTGACCAATATATTTTATTCATTCTCATTGATCGTTTTTGTCCTTGAATGTAATATGTCTTTACTTAGCAGACTGTGAATAGTAAATAAATACTTATCAAACCTAACAACAGTTGTCCCATCTGTGGCCAACCTAGTCTAAAACAGGTATGCAGTGAAATGTGCATCACGTGCACAACGAAAACCTGGTGATGTATGTTCTAATTCAGTTTCCCAAACCTAGCCTCAAGTCCCATAAACAGTGCAGGTTTTCCAGGTAACCTCATATACATAGAATGATTAATTAGTGTCACAGCAATGCAATAAACAGCCTGTGTGAATACCCATCAAACAAGGTGGGATGTTAGGATAAGAGGACAAGTTAGAGAAATCTTGATAAATTCATATTGTGAATGGCTAATTTCCAAGCTACACCCACAGGGACTGAGAAATATCTAAACGTGCATTGAGGTCCTCGGCAGTAAGCATGACGTATCAATTACCTGCAAGATATCTCTGTGTCTCTGCAATGTGTGCATCAGTGCGGCATTTACTGAGGTCACGCCAGCTGTACTGCTGTATTCTGCCATTTTGTCATTCACCCCCGTGAGCTGAAAATATAAAGAAAAAACAAAACCAGCCTGTATTTAAACAGATAAAATGTGAAAAAATGACATTTAGACCTTTAATACCAACAGCATGAAAGGTATAACCCAATGACAAGAAAATGCAAACTTGCCGATTCTTTAAGAAGCTCCTACACAAGTGTGTCAGTGAAGCAGTACTATTAAATATCCTTATTAGGTCCTGACACTCACCACCGGCACCATATACTAGTACGATACCTACCTGGCTTCACACCTGCGCTTGACTCCGAACATAATCTTTTTCCATGGATGGCCACCATTTTCTCCATTCATTCCTATAGTAAGGCCATCTACCTATAACAATTAAGCCTGTGACACACTGCACGCGAAGCTGTGGTGCGATGACTTTCACGTGCAGTGTGTCATGTCAGCTTGCGACAGCTCACACAACTGAGCGTGCTAAGATGAGAATTTTCATCTTCAGCCAATCGGCATGCGCATATAAACCCGTGCATCAGGATGTCCATTCGGTTGTTACACATGTCTTTGCAGTCTTTCATCTGGCCACGTTCAGCTCACACACTGCATGAGAACCTCCATGCCTGAGAGCTTTGCTTTGCATGCAGTGTGTCACTGGCTTTAAGTGTACCTCCCAAACTGAAAAAGTCTTAACTTGTTTGCTGTGAGCATCTAAAACTCCCCAACTATTTATCTTTTAATTCTTGACTATGTAGTACAAGTAGGTTACATGCTGGGGAATGCCCCCCTCCATGTGTCCAAGACTTTATCTGTTCTTCCTGTATGTCCATGACAGGTGCCAGGAGGGAAAGAGGTAGGGGATTAGCAAACATCTCCCCTGTGAAGCCTCTTGTTTCCCATAGAAGTCAATAGCTGTACGTGGGTATACGCCACATTTGCTTAAATAAGTGCATTCATATGGGGACACAACCCCAAAAGCAGACAGACTGGGCTCGTGGATGTGCACCCTACACGTGCGTGTGTTTACGCAAACCTGACATATACCAGTGTACAGCCACTGGCTTCTATGGAAGGCCGTACGATGCACCCGTGACTCCATGGTGGGGTAAATATGCCTTAATTTATATTGTACATCCACAGGCGGCTGGGTACCCTAACGATTTAAACTGTTCTGTTTCAACCCGGACAGCAGATGCAAATAAGGAGCATAAATACCTTCGCCAGAAGCTGCTCAATTTCAACTGCCATTGTTTCAAACATGTGATCTTGACTCGATCCATTCAGGAGTGGCGTTGTGTCCGAACTGGAAAAAAAATAAAACAATACTTATGAGTCATTGATTCAAACAGATTTAAATACTTAGCTTAAGTAGTAGTCTGTTGTCACATCTTGTGACAATCATCTCATGTCTATGGGTACCTTTGTGGAAGGTGCTGCCGCAGATACCTTTTGAGCTATTGTAGTAGCACCATCTCTAAGACCCCATTCATTTTGCGCGATATTGAGCAAATGCTTGCATTGCAAAGAATGGAATCGCGGCAAAATCCGCTCCAAAAAGGGTCTGCTGTAGCGACGCACGACCCGCGACAGCAGGACCCTTTGCCCCATTGCCTTGCATTGGAGAGCGATATCGCGCGGTAAATTGCCGCGATATCGCGGGAATTACCGCGTGATAAATCGCTCAATGTGAACAGGGCCTAACAAGCAGTCTGTCTCAGCAGGGCTGATAGGAAAACAGGGCTATCATTTCAAATAGTATTCTCCTCTTCCATAGCAACTCATATGGGACTGAAAATAACTGAACAGATGTCACAAAAAGAATTTCTCTTTTCCTGGAGAACGACTTGTAACACCATTTTTTAGTACATTTTCACTTGAAAATATAGTATAAAAGCAAATTCTATGAACATGTTCTACTTTGGCGTAACACATCTCTCATGCCTTTGTAGGTATATAAGTTCTTATTTTATATTTAAATATGAGCTTGAGCTACTGAGCTCTTTATACAACAGCTAAACCGTTAGAAATAAACAGGTAAACATGTAAAAAGGTACCTAGATCTCTAGGTACCCTTTTTAAACAAACAAAAAAAAATAAAATGAACATAATACAAAATGTATGCAAAAACATCACATTCCATTTAACCTGACACAGGACTTGGTATTTAAAATGACATTAAATGCAGGAGTTAAATCTTAAAAATGGATTCAAGTATCTTGACTATAAACAAAAATGGATCTTATTTGTGTATCACTCGGCTGTAGATCCTCAAATCATCTCCGAGTTGGTGCTGCCACTGTCCTTCCTTCTGGAGGGTGGCTGTTTCTGTTCCGCATGGTCCCTGTTGTAAAGTAGCCACCGCTTGAAGCTCACCCCCGTGATAGCCTATAATCTGAATACAAATGAATAAACTAAACATGAGATTGTAGTCCAAAACGGGAGTGAGCTTGGAGCGGTGACTACTTTACAACACACACAGGGGCCATGGGGAACAAAAGTAGCCACCCTCCAGAAGGAAGGACAAAGTCGGCGCCAATTCAGAGATGATTTGAGGATCTACAGCTGAGTGATAAACAAATAAGTAACATTTTTGTTAATAGTTAAGGTACATGAATGTATTTTAAGATTAAACTCCTGAGTTTAGTGAGACTTTATTAATGCAATGTAGGATATAATGTCAGATATAAACACATCTGTTAAGCCAAAAGCAGCACTTGCTGTACTATAACATATAAGTAGGAATACCTTCACAAATGACCATGCTATCAGGAAAGTGTCTACCCTTCTTTGCACAAGTTGTTCTAGCACCATGACCTTCTATGATCCTTACCCAGGCTAACAGCACTGGACAAATGTCATTTTAGATCCATTCCTTAGTTCCATAGTACAAGAATTGACTGGATTGGGCCCACACATGTGAGAAATTTCCAATGGATGAGAAAATATAATATTAAGATGAGCCCATAACTGCCAGAGGTGCTTGTTTTTTTTTGACTTGCAGCAATTTTAAAGAGACAAAGCATGGGGAAAAAGTGTATGAACTACATGGATACACTGAAATGTTTTATTCTATTTTACCCAAGCATACACTTTAAAAGAGGGCCTTATTTCTATGACATTACTGTTAGGAGGCTTTTACATTAGCCTAAAAATCACACTTCCTAAAGCTACAGGCAGTTTCTTTTTTTTCTACATTTAGCCCGGCTGTGGGCAAGCAGCACGGCTAAATGTAGTGTGGGAGCCGTTTCGTACAAGTGATTTTGAATGGCTGTACAGCCGTCCAAAATCAATTGTAACGAGCCTGTATCTCACTCCCCTCCCCCCCCCTCCCCTCTCCATCAATCTCCGATGGCCGGCCAGGTACCTCTCGCGGCTGTCTATGGCTGCCAGCTGGCTTCATTTCTGCCCTGGTCTTCGGGGTCCCCCCCTCTTGTGGGGGACCAGGCAAATTAGATTAGGTTACAGCACGGAGCAAAGATCGCTTCTCTGCTCCGTGTGTGCAGTGATACAGGATTGCAGCCTTCCTGTCACAGGAGAACGGGCACAGTACTGTGCTAGAACTCCTGTGTTGGAGGTGACAGGGTCAATAAAGAGAACCTGTCACCTCCAAATGCTTTCACACAGGGGCTTGTTAGCCCTTGTGTAATAGCAATAAGGTTAAGTGGAAAAAAAAAGTAAAAAAAATAAATGACAATTAAAAATGGAAATACAGAAAAATGGAATAAAAAGGCGATAAAGTAAAAAAAATAATACAAATAAATGAGAATTAAAAATAACCAATATTACATTAGTTTAAAAAAAAAGTAAAATAAAAACCCTGCTGCACCCACCATTTGCATGCGTGGGGTATTGTGTGTGATTGGAGTGGGCGATCCAATGTCTAATGGCACCCCAGTCACGCCTTGCAGATTGCGCGGTTTTCCGCCACAATACCGCCCGTGCAATCAGATATAATCACGGTTGAAAACATTGCATGGTGCGTGTTGCGAAAAAAGGTACATGTACCTTTTTTCAGTGATTGCCACATGGATGTAACTCCACTGAAATCAATGGGGCCGCACGGCAACTGTTGCATGCAACCGCACACGATCGCCCAAGTCTGCACCAGCCCTAAAGGGTAAATTTACTTTACCAAGTAATTTGGAAAAATGGAATTACCTGCTCAAATCTGGCCCTCTCCCGCTATACTTAACTTTAAGGGAACGGTCCTTCCCTTCGGCCAATATGGGTGTACTATATGTAATTGTGCCATGTATTCTGAATTTCGCTCGCAAATTGCAAGCATTCGATGGTCAGCGCAGCCACCTGACTCCACTGACCAATGAGAAGCTCTTCTTGGCACTGCTAAATACGGTTTGGGTAAAATTAATATTTTTGTATCAGGACAAGTAGATTGTCATGAAGGACAAGTAGTAGATCGGGCTCCCGCTTTAGTCCTTGGACAAGTAGTTTTTTCAAAAATGTCCACACCCCTGAGCTAGCATGAGTCTTTAACAAAACCAGTGTGTGCTAGATATATTGTTGGTGACATTATGCAAGTGGAAACATGGCTGAAGCAGCAGATCATATAGAGATGTATTGCTTTCAGTTTTCTGGTGATAAAAAATGCATCACTACAAGTTGGCTAAAACTTATATACAAAACACGATCAAATTATATTAAAAAGATATCCTTTTTTAAAAGTAATTTTTAATGTAAATCTAGGGGAGAGGGAGGGGGAGAGATGAATAATAAAAACAAGATATAACATTAAAGTGACATTAAAGTGACATTAAAGTCACATTCCCTCCCCAATGCTGCTTTACATACTTATCTTAAATGATGCCTCTTGATCAGATCATCTTCTTTCCAGGTGTCCCTCCAGCGCTGGTGCCGGTCTCTGATCCAGCCAAGACTCCTTGGATCCCACGGTGTCTGTCCGCATGCACGCTCCCAGCTGCGCGCATTGACACTGTGTCTCCCCTCAGCTGAAGATCTCTACTGTGCCCACCCCATAATCCTTCACGGCCGCTCGAGAAGCCTCATATCTTCGGACGGTAGTGAGCGGCAGAGGTACATTTTTAGCTATTTGGTAACTTTGTTTTTAAACGTTTTTGCATATATCTACTTGCTAGCAGTAGATATATGCAACCCCCCACCCCCCCCCACCTCCCCGAAGGTTTAATTGTACTTGAAGGATTGTAATAAAGGAGGTGAAGTTCACGTCTGGTCAAACATCATATTACGAGAAGAACAGAAAGTGAATGATTACTAAAATCTTCTATGTAACAGCTGCTAATGTAAATTTCCTGGTACTGTTAATGTATAAAATATTAGGAGTACCAGATTAACCTCCCTTCTGCATATCGTATATACCATTTCCATGCAAAGATCCTTTACTTTTGCGAGATGATGATCTATTACAGAACTTTTTCCATTTTTTAAAAAGTAATTTGCTGAAATGATTTCTATAATTAAGAAAGTTTATTATTGTTCATTGTTTTTTGCAATTTATTCACTGAAATGATCTCATAAACATTATAAATTTATGTTATGGAGATAGCATGGATATTGCAAAATGTTTCTGGGGCACGTTTATGCTGATTTCTGCATTAAATAATTAGCAAATGACTGAACTGTCAAATAGCATCACATGTTTTTATGCATTTTCGTTACCTGAGCACATATAGACGATCAGCTGGCTATGGAGCCGCTGATCGCCTATATGTGAAACACCCGGTAACGGGTGTGTGCAATGGTCGGGTCTTTTCTGCCCGTGCGTGCCCGCCAGGGGGCGCGCGCGAGCAGAAAAAAAATGCCGTCTGGCGACGGCAACCCGCCAATCCAGCAGTGCCGTCCGTCTGTTTTTTTACTACGGGCGGACGGCAAGAGGTTAAAGAGGAACCGAATTCTGGAAGCTGTGCCAAAAGAAAAAAAAAAAGGCAGACAGAAGGCTAAGGACTAGTCACTAGAATTGCCTGTGGTCTCTCTGCAGCTGATCTTTCCCCATTATTGTTCTGCACTGTGTTTGTGTGTGGAAGCGGCAATACTGGTAGAGACAGGACTTTTGTTTCCCCGTGTTATGGCCTCCAGCAAGAACAGTGAAGTGCACAGTCGTGACATCAGAAAATGTTACTCCAAACCTCCTGAGATTAGCAGCAATGCCTTAGATCTCACACAACAGTTATACAGTTATTAGGACTCGTTCATACCATGTCCGGACCAGATCAGCAAACGTAGTGCAGTGCATTTTTTCCGCATTTCGGTGCGTTTTTTTCAGCTTAAAATGGGATTTCAGGTGCAGTCCCTGCACCGGGAACAGACTGCACTGGTGCGAACAGAACCCTCAAATACCTTAGGAAATACTATAGGAGAACATCGGGATGCATTTCAAATGCAGACTAAAACTGTTCTGGTCCGAACATGGTGTAAACAAGCCCTTAGGCTGTATGCAGTGGAGTGCCTAGACACACTCCCTTCCAAAAAAAGTGCACTGCTATTTGTCAGAAACAATGATAGACAAAAGGTAAATGTTTACAGGGTATTGTTTTGCAGAACTACGGGCGCAAATTGTATTAACCCTTGCAGTGGAACTACCCCCACAACGCACTGCGATCACAGCGCTTCCTCCTGCCTCTATCATTCTACGCTGCAGCAATGGTATGTTCCTTGGTATCCTCACGTCCTATACACTGTAAACAAAACATAATGACTCGGGGACCTTAGACCGCTGCAGTTGGAGGGGGAGCGAGGCATAAGGGACCAGTCGGCTGGCTCAGAGGACTGGGCGAGTATAACTTTTTTTTTTACCTAGACAAAAATCGAGCAGTTAACCCTTGCAGTGCCGAGCTAGGCCCACTGCAAGGGTTAAGAACATTTGTCCCCGGAGGTCTGCTTTAAGTTTTCCCTATAAATCTTTCACTTTTTGAGTTTAGTTCCATTTTAAAATGGCAACATCGCTCCGTTTTAAAAATGATTAAATTACATGACACTGGGTTAAAGCAGCAACAGCATCTCATTGGTTTTATTTCCTGTATATAACACATAATAAAATGCTTATTAACCATTTGAAGTCCGGGGTGTTAAACCCCCTTCCCATCCAGGCCATTTTTCAGTATTCAGCGCTGCGGTACTTTGACTGACATTTATTCCGTCATGCAGCGCTGTACTGAAATAAATTTTATACCATTTTTTGGGGACAGATAGATAGTGATGGCCACCAAAAAGGCCACTTTCTGTGACAAAGATATAAGCGGAATCTCCCGAAGAGGCTCAAACGGGGATTCCTGCAATCCGAAAGCACGAGATTCAAATCCCACGGAACCAAAGGCGCGCGGACAGGGGGAGCAATGCGTGTCACCCCCTAAACAAAGGTGCGAACCAAAGCATTAGACGCCAAAGGCCGCTGGAAAAGCACCAAGGCCGAGATTCGGCCCTTCACAGTACTCAAGGCCAGACCCTGAGCCACCCCGCACTGCAGGAACGCAAGGATTCCGCTGATGGACACCAGGGCACGCTCTGAGCATAGTGGATATGACCGCATCAACCTTTTACCGCTCATCAGTTTAGTGTTATCATTGATTGATGGCCCTAAAATTATTGCTCTCACTGCGACGTTCGGGGCGATATGTAACGTGTGTAGCGCAATTGTCGTTTTCGTGCGCTGGTGCACCGGCGCGTATTTACGTTTATATGTGCGTAAATGTGGGGGTAGGGGACTTAAACATTTTTGTTTGTTTTTTTAAACTTTTTTATATGTGACTTATTTTTTTTAACTCTTTTTATGTTTTTTTACACTTATTGTTATTGCTATTATATAGGGTGATAACCATCCCACTACATAATAGCAAAGTCACACTGACAGGTCCTCTTTATGGAGACATAAGGGGTCTCTAAGACCCCTAATGTCACTTGGGGACCCCAAAAGAAGCTGATGAAGCACAGATCTGCTTCTTCTCTAGCAGCACAGATCAGCTTCTTCTCTAGCAGCCAGATGACTGACAAGTGAATGCGGAAGTGATGTATTTACACATTACTTCCGCATTCACAGCAAGGAGGCAGGTCAGCAAGGAGGCAGGTCAGCAAGGAGGAAGGTCAGCAAGGAGGAAGGTCAGCAAGGAGGAAGGTCAGCAAGGAGGAAGGTCAGCAAGGAGGAAGGTCAGCAAGGAGGAAGGTCAGCAAGGAGGAAGGTCAGCAAGGAGCAAGGTCAGCAAGGAGGAAGGTCAGCAAGGAGCAAGGTCAGCAAGGAGGAGGATGCTGATCTCCCTCCCATCTTACCTCCTGACACACTCCGAGCCGGTCCCGGGACGCAGATGGGGCAGCGGATCTCGGGATTGAAGGTGAGGGGTCAGGAGGGGGGGAGGCAGCGGCACTCGAGGGGGGTCACGCAGCCAGCACATACACACGGTCGGTTGGCTATAGAGCCGCCGATCGTGTGTATGTGAAACAGCCGGTAACGGCTCTTTACATTGGACAGGTTCTTCCTGTCCATGCGCGCGCTAGGGGTCGCGCGCGAGCAGAAAAAAAATGCCGTCTCATGACGGCAATGCGCGAATGTGAGTCCGCCGTCCGTCCTTTTTTTGCAACGGGCTGACGGCAAGAGGTTAAGGTTAAAAAAAGGCTACAAATAATCTCTGCAGTTGAGACAGTAACATATTTCATGCACTAGGACAGGGGTCGGCAACCCACGGCTCTGGAGCCGCATGCAGCTCTTTCGTCCTGCTGCAGCTCCGCTCCTTCCGCCCACTGATCTGACAGATGCAGTGATCGGGGAACGGGGCGGTATCTTCACATTTGTCGAGGCCTCGTCTCAGCACACCACAGACGAAGGTGTAGCTCCACCCCCTCCTGTTTGCTTAGCGGCCCGGTCTATGCAGGAATTGTGGCCACGCCGTCTCTGTGGAACCGCCGCTGCTTCCAGCTGAGAGAGTGCAGAAAAACCTGGGGTGTCCCCTAGAAGGCCGAGAGTGTAAAAGTCCTAAGGGAGTCCCTGGAAGGCACTGCGGTGTCCCTGTCTCCTTCCATCATTTGTTCTTTTTCAATTTGACTTTTTTTTTTTTATGTAAAAGAGAAATTATCTTTATTTTAAACTGTTCAAGGCATGTTTTTATTGAAGAGACCAGCAGCGGGCCACAAAACAACAGGGTAGTAAATGACATTCACATAGTGTTCACGTTTTAAAAAAAAAAATCCCATAATTTAGTCATCGCTATTGAATTTGCCATTTACATATGGAACATAATCAAGGAACAGCCTCCAGTCGGTGGCCCAAAACAATCCAATTTGACTTTTTTGATGCTAGCATCTTTACTGTGACTTTGACTGTGCAGGAACATTAGAGTGTAAACTCCTCTGTACAGAGACTGTGACTGGCTCAATGTTCTCTGTACAGCACTGAGGTATATGTCAGAGCTATATAAATGTATAATAATAGTGTGTGACTGTGGAGGGACATTAGAGTGTAAGCTCCAGCGCTCCAGTACACATGCGATAAAAGGATGACGGCACACAGAAACAGACAGCATTTTTGGTTTGCTGCAGGTGTTTTCTCTGTAGCAGTTCATTGATTTCATAAATGCAACACACTATAGTTCTTTTATACATAGCATAAAAGGTAAAAAATGATATATGCAGTGTATTCTTCATTTTAGATGTCAAACGGGTTTTGTGGCTCCTGGGGGGTTTTTTTCTGTGGGAAACGGGTCCAAGTGGCTATTTGAGTGTTAAAGGTTGCCTACCCCTGCACTAGGAGAATGTATCAAGGTTTCTGACTAGATTCAGAGTTCATGCACAGATTAGTCATGTTTAGAGGAGCATGTTAAAAGGAAGTATTGCATTTTAGGGTACAGCAGTTATATGGTATTGGGGAAGTTAGTGCCGCCGATGAATGGTACCAGCATCTTTTAGAAAAGTTGGCCTGGCACAGGAATGGGATTTCTTAGTGGAAGGACAATAATTATTTAGACACACTAATTACTTTGAGCTGAAAAGACAATGATGGGCAATATGTAATATTCTGACATATATAAACAGATAAAAAGAAAAAAAGAAAAAAAAGAAAAACAAAATGTGGCTAGTACCTATACCTGTCGCGTCGTCCCTCTCTGGAGTTGCTGTGGCTGTAGCTAGTGCAAAGTTTGCTAAAAGATACTAATTTGAGGTCGAGTTCATTCTCCAGTTGTCTGGCCTGCTTCCTCAGATCTGTTGAGAAAAAGAATAACCGTATATTACATATCTACTGATTACGATCATTAACATACTTGTGGTCATTAAATGATTCTCTAATATTTATCTGAACAATTCTGTTCTACTTGGGGGTTTACCAAGTTTTCACTTTACTGATAAGTGAATAACAATTCTATCTGCAGTATCCCAGGCTGAAAAAACTCTGCCCACTTGACTGTTTTAAAACAGCAAATGCACCCATAGTCCTTTTTACCTGGGTAGAAGAGAACACTGAAGCTTCTGACCAGCATTCATTCGCGGTCTTGTGGCAAGAACTGTATTAACAGAAGCAAGCAATGATGTCCCAATAGGCCATGAAATGAGGCAATGAACTGCTAGAATGTCACTTTACACGTATGCCTACCAACTGTGTATTTAGCGTTTGCTGTAGCTGCAATAAAGAGCTGGTTAAAGTAGAGAAGCAGCAGAAATTAAAAGATTGTACACAGTGGGATATGGCAGTCAATTCTTGACCCATCCGGCCATTGACCACTACAGGTAATATCAAGGCATTTGAATCTAAGAAGAATACTTTTCGCCCACACAGACGACCAGAGAGCCCACACAGACCCGCACAACCCCCCTGAGGGCCCATACAGACAACCTAAGAGCCCACACAGTGCCCCTAAGAGCGCCTCAGAGCTACACAGCCCCCTTGAGAGCTCGAACAGACCACCACAGAGCCGCATAGCCCCCCCTGAGAGCCCATACAGACCACCTAAAAGGCCCTTGAGAGCCCACACAGTGCCCCTAAGAGCCGCAGAGCCCATACAGCCCCCTTAAAAGCTTGTAGAGCCCACACAGCGCCCCCGAGAGACTGCACAGCCAACATGAGAGCTTGCACAGCCCTCCAGAGACCCTGGAGACATCAGGCCGCCACCCCGGAGCAACACAGAGTATGTAGCTTCATATTATTCTGCATTGCTGTATAATGTATTGCTGGGATTTGTAGTCCTCTATAGCTGATGGTATTCTGCATTGCTGTATAACGTATTGCTGGGATATGTAGTCCTCTATAGTTGGTGGTATTCTGCATTGCTGTATAATGTATTGTTGGGATTTGTAGTCCTCTATAGTTGGTGGTATTCTGCATTGCTGTATAATGTATTGTTGGGATTTGTAGTCCTCTATAGTTGGTGGTATTCTGCACTGTTATATAATGTATTGCTGAGATTAGTTACTCTACAGGGTGGAGTCAATGGCAGGACTACCAGGGTCACTGCTACTACAATACTCATAACTGTAAGAAATTACCTATACTTCACAACAACATTTATTCCATACATCAGGGCTCAACCATCCCAGGCGCCAGGTCACCATGGCAACTAGAAATGCCTTGGCGCCTAAGCTTTTGTCAGCCCTTTACCGCCACCTTCACCGCCGAACCAGCTCTGCTCCTCCTGTTCTCCTCCCCGCTGGGAGCCAGCTGCAGTCTGTGTCCTTCTCGATCCCTGCTGCTCTACCCTCCTGTACCAGCAGAAGCAGAGGGGATTGAAGGGGACACAGACCGCTGCTGCCGGTGCACAGCAGGGAGGAGAGACCACTGTCAGCCACTGTGCCCCCGCTGCAGATCAACTGCCCATCCAGTGGCCGGCAGCAATATTCAGCCTTTCATTGGCTATTTTAAATTGCAGTAGCCAATAGCAGGCTGGCCTTTGCACCTGCATACTGCCTGCTGTAAATCAACAAAGCAGCGGACCTGAAGGAGGAAATTGCTTTTGTCAAGGAAAGTTTTCCTTCAGGTCTTCCTCTGCTGATTGACAGCAGGCGGGTGCAATAGCCAGCCTGCTATTGCAATTTAAAATTGCCAATAGCAGGCTGGCTACTGCTCCCAGCTGCTGGATGGGTACTTGATGGCGTGTTTCTACCGCTGGCAGAAGAGAGAGCACGGGGGAGCATCTGAGGAACTGGGGCACCAGTGGAGGGCAGCAGAGGAGGGCCAGGGCAGCAGCAGATGATCCAGGGAATGAAGAGAAGGCACAGGGGCAGCAGAGATGAACTGGGAGGTGCAGAGAAGGCATGGGGGCAGCAGCGGACGGGCCAGGGAATGCAGAGGCACAGCTGGTCTCTCCTCCCTGCTGGTGCCGGCTGCAGTGGTCTGTGTCCCCACTGCCTCTGCTGAGGCAGGCAGGGAGGCAGCAGGGATTGAAAGGGGCACAGACCGCTGCAGCCGACACCAGTGGGGAAGAGAACAAGGAAGCAGAGATGCAGTGGATTCAACTAATCGAATCAACTAATCGATATGAGAATCGTCGCCAATTAGTTGTTTCAGCCCTAGTATTCTGCATTGCTGCATAATGTATTGCTGGGATTTGTAGTCCTCTATAGCTGGTGGTATTCTGCATTGCTGAGATTTGTAGTCCCTCTACAGCCTGGAGTCAGTCGCAGAACTAGCAGTGTTGTCAGCTACGACCGGGCCCTGGTGCTCCACCACTGTCCTAAAATCATTATTCTGTATTGTTTTAGAAAAACTGTCACGTGACACACACACAAAAAAAAAGGTTTCAGTAATGTATCTGTGAGGACTTGAAGAAAAGCATGGGTACTCATACACTGTCTGGAAAACAATATGGTATCGGTGCATTCCTACTGGTAAGTTAAAGTGGACACTTCCCGCCAAAATTAAACTTTCCAACAGTGTATCCCTCCCCTCTCCATAATCTAAAAAAAAAAATGATTACTATGCGGGTAATTTACCCTTTTTTGTTTTTTCCATGCCGGCCCCCTGCCTCCTGACCTAGGCGAGAATGACATGAAATCCTCCTCCTTGCAACCTCCTGGAATATGCACATCACATATTCCACAGGGTATCAGCTTTCAGACTGCACTGGAAGAGGGAGGATCTGGCTCTGTGTCATCAGGAGGCCGTCCCGCTACAAGAACCAGAAGAGACAGCCCACTCCCGATGCTGTATGTTAAGAAGATGGCGGCGTGCAGCAGTGTGAATATGTTTATTGTGGATATCAAAGCAAAAAAGTTAAAGGGGATTTAAAGTAGAACTGAAGTTATTTTGTTTTAGTTTTGGATACAGTAAGGGAGGATTATAACTAGGGATGCACCGATACTAGTATCGGTGCTGATGCCAAGTATTCGCCTGAATGTTCTGATGCCTAGCCTGATACCTGAGCTTCCAGTATCAGGAAGCCAGGCAGTGAGTCAATACATGCTGCCAGACTTCCTGATTGGCTGTGAAGCCAGCTACATGCTCCCTCGTCGCCAAGTGACGAGGGAGCATGGAGCCGGCTCCGCAGCCAATCAGGAAGCCAGGAAGCATGTAATAACTCGCCACCTAGATTCCTCATTGGCCGGGAAGGTGGCTCCATGCTTCCTCGTCACTTGGTGGGAGCATGGAGACAACTTCCCTGCTAATTGGGAAGCCAGGTGGCGAGTCATTACACACCGCCTGGCTTCCTTAATGGGACTTCCGGTATCGGTATTTGGTATCAGTGAGTACCAGAAAAAAAATATCAGTACTCAATATCGAAAAATCAATATCCCTAGTTAGAACCCCTGTCAGTTTTTTTTTGTTGCCTCATGTGTCTCATTGGGGAGTTTTCTCTTCCCTTCCTGTCAAATTTCAACAACAGGAAGTGAGATAAAAACCCTCCAAAGAGAGAGCAGTTCCTGGTGATCAGAAGTGTCACCAGAACTAGTGTCCCCAATGGAAGATTTCCCATCTAGTCTCCTGTTCTGATGACAACCCAAAATTTGGGATATTCTTTCACTATCAGTGGTAATGATCACCGGGACATATAGAGGGGGCAAATTCATAACAGGGGCACAGAGAGAACTAAAAACCTGACAGGGGGGGGGGTCTAATCTCTCTTCTATACAAAACTTTAAAAAAAAGTTTTGGTTTCAGTTGCACTTTTAAAAAGAATACACAGAGGGGTGAAATTCCTTTATAATTGGCTCCCGTCTAAACTGGCCCTAATATTTGTATGTAATATGGGGACTTTAGATTGTAAGCTCCTTGAGTGCAGAGGCTGCTGGCACTAAATAAATAAAATACATCTTCATTTCAGAATTCACACAAAGAGGGATTTGGTTTGTTTGTGGTCAGTACTAAAACCAAAGTACATTCCCAGGGGGAACAAATTCCCAGGGACAACCTCACTCCAAGTCAGCTGACACTCCTGCCATGGCAGAGGCTGCTGGGGCACAGTGGAGCTCCTACTTCCTCCCAGCTGGACACTCAGTCCCAGGTTACCTAAGCTGCACTATACAGGATCATGTCACCGCATTCTCGTCTCATTCCCTCCTACAGAGAGAGAGAGCCTAGAGGCCAGGACCGAGCAGCCGCACTCCACCAGCCTGCCATACCCCCGATACACCGGGCACAGCGTCTCCTGGGTGCCGCTCCTCACCTTCCCAATAGTTACTGCTTCCCGCCGCCATCTTTGTTGTCCAACGTCACCCAGTCCGGCGAGTCAGCGATAGAGAGGAGACTGGAAGCAGCTAGATCGCCGCTATGACGTGCCAAGCACAGCTCCGCCGAGAGGATGCAGCACAGCGACACCTTGTGACACTTTTCTTGAATTGCCGATTAGTGCTCTAAGTAATACTACTGGCTGAGAGTCACTGAAGTCTGGAAAGTGCTGCTGTCCATATCACTTTCAGATTTTTCTTCGCTGTTCAATTAAAAGATGCATTTCGACGGTTTACCAGCCCAAATATTCTTTTTTACAGACTGATCACAATGACAACTTTACTATACATGCTACGATCATATTGCGCAGCCACTTTACACTAGCCATCCACTATACTCTGCGTACAATCTCATTTAGATTTACAAAAACTGTGCAATGTGAGGACAGACCTAAACAATCCATTCACTTTGTATCAAATCAGTCAGATCCTTGTACTACATAGTTGGTGGTGGATCTAGGAGATTGGGAAATCAGATTGTGCAGCATTTAGCAGGGCACCACAGAGTCACCCCTAAATTCACAAACATATGCAATTGCCTGGCTGCTGTGCATGGGTCATGGCATGGGATTGGGCTGGGCTGAGCCAAGAGGTAGGCAGAAGAGGTGGCAACTAGTGATGGGCCGAAAAAGGCCCGAGCTCAGTTCGAATTCGAACTCTAGAACATCACAAAAGTTCGAATTCAAACTCAATGCAAGTCAATGGGGTAGAACTTTCAAAACCAATTGTCCTCTTTAAATGCAGTTAAATATCGTGCCTGGGGGGTCCCCTTATCCTGCCTGTAAAGTGGCACATCTGTACAATGTATAGAACCTGCTGCAGCAAAAATAAAATTTCTAAAGAAAAACAAATTAAATTTATTTTCTTTATTTTAAATAGGGCTGCGGAAATTAACGATTCATTTCTTGATCTATTAAATCTCTTTTGATCGCTAAAGAAAACACTCACCTCTCCGCCGTCGGAGATCCGGTGACGTAACGGATATCGACGTCACCGGACTCCTCCCCCTTCCCCAAGTGACTCCGTCGGCTAAAGAAGGGAAGGGGGAGGAGGCTGGTGACGTTGATGTCCGTGACGTCACCAGACTCCTCCCCCTTCTTCCCTTCGTTAGCCAACGGAGCCACTTGGGCCGGTGTTATTGGCTATATTTTCAGTGTCAGTCTGTATTTACAGTGCCATTTGCTCGATTGTCAGTGTCAGTCTCTGTATGTGCAGTGCCAGTCCGTGTATGTGCAGTGCCATTGGCTGTTTTGTCAGTCCTGTATTTGCAGTGCCAGTCCGTGTATGTGCAGTGCCATTGGCTGTTTTGTCAGTCCTGTATTTGCAGTGCCTGTCCATGTATTGTTAGTGCCAGTCCTTGCTTGTGCAGTGCTAATGGCTGTATTGTCAGTGTCAGTCCTGTGTTTGCAGTGCCATTGGTTATATTGTTCTTGTGAGTCCTGTATTTGCAGTGCCAGTCCTTGTACATACAGTAGTGCCATTGGCTGTATTGTCCTTGTGAGTCCTGTATTTGCAGTGCCAGTGTCGGTAGTGCCAGTCTCTGTATGTACAGAAGTGCCATTGGCTGTATTGTCCTTGTGAGTCCTGTATTTGCAGTGCCAGTGCCTGTGTCGGTAGTGCCAGTCCCTGTATGTACAGTAATATCATTGGCTGTATTGTCCTTGTGAATCCTGTATTTGCTTCCCTTCGTTAGCCGACGGAGCCACTTGGGCTGATGAGTTTGCCCTAGAAACTTTCGGCACGAGCGCCAGCCAAGACATTGGCCTATACACATACTAATCCAGCACGTTATTATTCTGAGTTGCCCCACTCAAGCGGCGGCCATATTGAGTGGGGCACCTGAGGTAAATAACGTGCTGGATTAGTGTGATCCTAGTTCATTTTATTACTTCATTGCTGTGCTGTATGTGTATAGGCCAATGTAGTTGGATCTGTATGTGCGTTATAATTAATCGAAATTAATCGATTAACATTTTTTTAGATTAATCGAACACGAAAATTTTATTCAGTAACAGCCCTAATTTTAAAGCATGCAGTTCCCCCTCCTAAACAATACCAGACCCTTTAGGTCTGGTAGGAATGTTAGGAGGGACCCCATTTAAAAAAAAAAAAAAAGTCCCCCCTCAAAGTCATACCAGGCCCTTAAGATCCGGTAGGATTTTTAAGGAGGAACCCCCACCCCCACAAATGGGGTCCCCCCTAAAATTGCCAACCAGACCCTTGATCCGAGCACAGGCCCGGCAGAGCCGCAAAGGCCAGAAAAGGGGGACGTGGATTGGGATCAGGTCGGAAAATCTTCGAACAGAGCCAGGTATAATGACAGTGACCGCCGGCTGCCATCAGAATGCAATGCAAACAGCGAGAGATTCCTTGATCAGTGATCATAAGCATTGATAGAGGAATCTGTAATATTTTCTTTGTTCAGCCCGCGGGTTGAACAAAGAAAATATTACAGTGTATGGCCAGCTTTACTTACATTCACAGGGGGCTGCAAATTGGTTATTAATGGACCCCTAAGACTGTTATGCATTGTTCAGTTAGAATAAATAGCTGGCTGTTTAAGTTCCAGTAGCTGGATTTCTCCTCAGACTCAGTGTAGTAAAAGTTGTGGTTATTTAGATAAAAAAGCAGTTTTGTTTCACAACATGTATTGCTGCTGACGTCTAAGTCGGGATCCGCTGCGGCGTCTCAGTATACCGCGAGCTGTAGCTCGTGGTATACTGAGCTTAGGGTAACGGAAGGACGCTAGTTTGTGTCCTCCCGTTACCTTAAGGAGAACTATGGGGAAAAACACTGACCCCATAGTTCTCCTTTAAGTAGAAGAGCTAACATTCTCTTTCAGACTCTCAGTGTACCAGAAAAGAAACGGTGTGTTTTTCACAACATTCTGTGCTGTTTTTGTGTAAGAACTGAGAGATTATCTTCAAACTAAGGCAGGCTCTATATACACAAGCAGAGCTTGTTTTAAAAAATGTGTTTTCGGGACGATTTTGTAGATATGTGCGATTCGTTTTGTTCCAAATCAGAATTCAGACGAATTTTCCGAAATTCAGACATTCGGACACATCAGAATTTCCAAATCCCAATGCATCCGAATGTGTTAGAATCAGAGTTTCCATTTTCGAATTTCGTTCAAAAACTAATCTTAATCGGACATGTGACTTTTATGGCCAATCAGATGTGTTTTTCGGTTTAACGCATCTAAATGGATCTGAACACAAATTTTCATTTCGGCAACATGGGAGCCATATACAGTATAAATACATACATATGAAGCTGAGGCTTCTCGACCCGAATGGTATTCGGGAGCCAAAACTCCCCTCAGGAAGGGGTACCTTGCAGGATAAGACTGCCAATTCAGACACTTGTCTCATAGAGGTGATGGCTATAAGAAATATCACCTTGTGGATCAGAATAGAGAGAAATATCTCTGAAGGATTCAGACAATGATTTTAAAAGCACAGAGAGAACCAGATTCAGATCCCATGGAGTTGCAGGGAGGAAAATCAAGTAGTTGCAGGTCTAAATCAAGTAGTGAGCAGTCTCTGAAACAAGATAGTCCTGGCAAAAGTGGCTCAAAGTGGTGACACCCAAACACTGGTCCAGACAAAGCTGCAAGAAAGAGAGGATTTGTCCCACACAGAAAACCCTTGGGATGGAAGCCCCGAGATTTGAACCAAATCAAGTATGCCTTCCATGGCCGACAATAAACTTTACAAGGAGTATCCTAACTAGAATCTTAGGAAACACACATTCACAGATACCCTTAACCCAAAAAGGAACCCAATAGCCATGCTGTTGTTATGAAGTGGTTATGAAGTAAAATGGCAAAATGATGATCAGACACAGGTTTTGTCTAATGTAAAAACCTGGATGGTTTCTCTAGTTAGCTAAGAAGCACATGTTTTCCTAGTGATCTCTCTGCAAAGGCCCTAAAATTATGGAAGTTTCTACGGTTATCTACAGCTACTGGTGAATTCAGGACTGGATATAGAAACCCTGGACAAATTTCGTCCGAATTTCGATTCGAACGAAACGAATTGCACATGTCTATTTTACAACATATCGGTCATGAATCTACCAGCGCTATTGACTATCGATACTAATGGAGGCCGCGCATGCGCACAAACCAAATCTCCATGTTGCTTGAATACGCGCGCAAACCGGGAGTGTGCGAAAACACGAGCAACAACCTTCGCAAAGGAAGTGCTGCTGCTACCTGGTTAAGCTCACCATATAAAAACGAGCCTGCCCCTGATCCATTGCTGATGGTCTTTTCAGCTAGTGTTCCTGTGTGCTTGTACCTGTTGGATTCCTGTGACCTGCCTGACTTGGTTTGTTTGGACTTGCTACTTGATTACTGCCTGCCCCTGACCTCGGCCTGTTTCCTGGACTTTGCCTTCTGCCTCCTGATTTTGTACTTTGCTGCCCGGCTGTCTCCGACCTCTGGCTTTCCTGACAACGCTCCAGACTCTTGGGCCTTCTCCCACGCTGTCTGCTCGGTGGACCCCCGGCTTGCTGACTACACGTCATCAGGACGTCTCCTGCACAGTGTCGGTTCCCATCAGTGGCATTCGAGCTCCTCGCTATCCAACTGCTCCCTGTTCCCACCTCCAGGTGCGGAAGGACACGAGTCGCAAGAGAAGCCTCCTCACCTTCTGGTCTCTTACCAGGTACGTGACACTATCCAGCATTTCATATATCCAGCATGAATCTACCAGCAGATGTTGATAGTAGAAATCTTCCAAACAGGAGAGCACACTAGCAAAACCTGAGTCATAATGGTTTAAAGCGGGGTTATCCTGTGCTGGCTACGGATTTTTCCTGCCTAGTGTCCATTTCTCCTGTAGGTGGCAGTATAACACCAGTCTAAGAATTCCTGTGTGCCTCAATGGACGATATAGAAATATTTTGAGTCATTTATTTAAAAACAAAAAGATGGACTTCTAGGTCATGATGTTGATTCATATTTCTTCTTCCTTTTTACCTTTTTGTACTGCAACTACTCAATGTGGATAAATTACAGCAAGACATATAATTACTTAATGACAAATATTCACAACACAATAAATACTTGTTAACTCCTCATCAGGCAGTATCTAGCATACACTGCAAATAGCTTCCCTGCATCATTAGTCCTCATTAGTAGGAGATAAGAGAGTATGACATGCATTATGGGCAGAACACTGGTTGATTTACATGATCAATAATCTCTTTTAAGCATCAGCAGATTTTATGTAGCAGGACATCAATCTGGCTACAGAATTCCAGTGCCATTCCTTTAAGGGATCACATGTTGTGAAGCCTTTTGGGGGTTTTCTTGGTTTGTTTCTGTAAATGCCTCTAAATTATGCTTCTCAACACAGACTGTTTCATGGCAGAATAAATGACTACTTTTATTTTAATGTTTACTCTAGGCCAGTTTTATACTGTTACATTTTTTTTTCCTTTTCATTCCCTGGCAAAATATGTCAGGTGTAACCCTGTGTGCTGCTCAGTGTCTTCAACACATAACAGAAAAGTACAACGTATACCAATAGCAAGAGCAACTATAATGAACAACTTGTAACAAACCAAAGCAACCAATCAAATGCCATGTTTGCACTGATCTGACTTTGGTAGATTGAAATCTGATTGGCTGTTGATGGTTCTGCACTTTCCATAGATTAGTTACGCTGCACATTGTAGTTAAGAGCCATATAAAATAGAGTCAACAGTATGTATCCGTGTAGCTATAATGCACTCATGACTTTCATACACACATACATACACATATATATCTCAATTATATAATTATCTGTTTTAGAAAATCAATCTTATGTCCGTTTGATGCCTCCTACTTTTATTTTAATGTTATAGGGAATTGCATCAGGCTAAAAAAAAGGCTTTTATAGTGTTTGCGTTCTCTTCTTTTCTAATACGCAATTTTATTAGAGCCAGTACCCACCAAACTTTTAAAAATGTGTACCTGGATCTGAAAACTGAATGAACAGTAGTTTTTCCTGTACAGTTAGTTTTTTCTAACAGCTTGTGTAGGCAAGCAAAGGCAGGATCCTTTCAGGTGCGCATACCATGCGTTTGAGATCAGTTTGAAGTTCGCAAGTAATTCAGTGCACTCTTCCCAGTGTACAGGTTCCAGACTTCCAGTGGGTGCCGCAATGGTGGTTTGACAGATAGCGCTGTCATCCACAGGCCTCCCTAACCGCAGTGCTTCAAGAAAGGTGTCCCTCTGAGGCCCTGAAACTATGAATCTCTCTGTCTGCTACAATAATAAATAGGGTGTGCTGGTGACATTTGGATATTTTGCAATCAGCTCCTAATGCATTCATAGATGCTTTTAATCTATAGATCACCTCCTAAGCAGCTCACAGAGGGTTGTTGTTGTCCTTCTCCTCATGTCAATGTGTTTGAACCTGCCAACTAGCAACCCAGGCCCAAGCACTCTATATTGGGAGGTCACATGCTTTTCATGGATTAGTGGGGAAACACAGCAAAGATATAAGAGGGTTGGGGGTGAGCTTTCAAAAGACTGAATGGGCAATTTAACAGAGTATTTATAACAATCTGTAGAGCAAACTGTTACAGACTCATATTAAAAGTGAAACTAAACTCAGGAGTTAAACCTTAAAACTGCATTCAGGTAACCTATTAACAAAAATGTATCTTATTTGTGTATCACCCGGCTGTAGATCCTCAAATCATCTCTGAATTCATACTGACGCTGTCCTTCCTTCTGGAGGGTGGCTACTTTTGTTCCCCATGGTCCCTGTGTGTGTTGTAAAGTAACCACCGCTCCAAGCTTACTCCTGTGATGGACTACAATCGCAATACAAATTAGAAAAACTAAACGTGAGATTGTAGTCCATCACCGGAGCGAGCTTGGATCAGCGACTATGACTAGACGACAACTATCACCAATAATGAGATGATTTGAGGATCTACAGCCGAGTGATACACAAATAAGATACATTTAAAAATTTAATAATTAGGGTACTTGAATGAATTTTTAAGATTTATCTTTTGAATTTAGTGTCTTTAACTAATTCACCCACGTTGCAGCAAGCCACAAGTGCAGTAACACACTTCCACGCATTGTGTGCTGTATCAGAAAAAAGAATGCAGCTTTGTTTTCTGCTCCATTGTGGTGTATTGTCACAGCATACAGATGTAAATGAGGCCCACAGATGACAGCTTATCATTTACTACATAAGGGTAGGTGAACATTAATAAGAAATGAGCTGCATGACTCCTTCACACAAGTATGCATCCTGCATTTATTACCACAAAAGGATGAGAATATAAAAAAATCAAGTGACAACATAAAAGACATCATGTAGAGTGGGCTGCTCTTTACAGGCACAAAAACAATTCATACAACCATCTTTATACCAATGAAACAACAGTATTCAGGCTGTCATCCAAACCTCAATGAAGGTTTTTAAAGCATAATTAACACTTTCAATGGAGTCACGGTATTAATCCCCACAGTAAGGTATTGCAACATTGTACTGATCAACGCCATATACTTCCAGTGCTTCAGCTGCTGCAACAAGGCACTTCAGGAGTTATTACATATTGAAACAGGTGGGCAGAAAATACATATCCAGAGTGCCTTATTGAGAGAAACCCTTAATACTGCATGGCCTCGATTTTTTTTCCACTGTCAAATATATAAAATGTAAGAGCAGAATGGGGTCAATACGTTTTCATTAAAAGAAATCTGAGAGAGGTGTTTTGCTTTGTGATAAAATGCCTTTAAAGATGTATACAGTACAACATTGACTAATATGACATACAAGAGATTCTTAAATTGGGGGTGCGTGTATGTCCAAAGCTTCAACTTAAAGTGGTACTATGTTATAGTAAAGTGCTTGACAGTCTCTCTCATCGCAATGTTCCACCATAGGGGGCACAAGTCCAATAGTAAACTGTACTGAATCTCTAGTTATCTTAGACACTGCCGTATGATCACATTACAAATCCATTTTAAATAACATCTAGTCTGAGCTTACTATAACCAAATACAAGTGTTGCTATTGTGCCTTTGTTCTTACATGGTGTCCTGTATAACAAAGCCACCAAATATCCGGAGAGCAGGTAGATCACACCCCTATGTTTGTATCATCCCTGTCACAGAGTCAAGGAGACATATCATTGCTGTAGTCTCCCCACCCCACTGTGTCTTGGGGTGGGAGAGATCTCTGGCATCACAGGACAAGCAAATCTGCAGCAAAACATCGGTCTTAAAATGTTGCTATTTACTGAATCTAAATCAGCTACAGAACCTAGTCTAATTACACTAAAAAAACACAATTCTTTCATTTACAAAGGACTTTAAAATCCAGCTGGCAGTGTGTATTATGTTATACCATCTGCACGCAAAACTTGCAGATTTAAAGGCCAGCCCTATATTCTCTTTGTCAGGGGTAGGCAACCTTGGCACTCTAGCTGTGGCGAAACTAGAGTCCCATGAGGCACTGCAAAAGTCTGACAGCCACAGACATGAAGGGATTTGTAGGTTCATCACAGCTGGAGTGCCTAGGTTGCCTACCCCTGCTCTAGGCGGTTCAGTGTTTTTAAATTTTGGATAGAGGTGGGGACGAGTTCAAACCAGTCAGGTTTTATTGTTGTCTGTGCCTCCACTGGGGAGGGGTTTGCCCCATTTTCTGTCCTGGTTCCAGGCTGTCACCAGGATAATCCGTAATGGAAAACCTCCCCAGTGGGGACAAAGAGCATAAAATATTTTTTTTTTCAAGTAGAATGTAGATGGGTGAGAATATCCCCGAATTACAGGGACAGAAAGTAGGAAGAAATTACACAATCCTGGCCAGCAATAAAACCTGACAGCAGATCTAACCCTTCCTTACTCTATGTAAAAGAACAAATGTATGGTTCTGGCCTGACACAGATGGACTTCCTCTTGCAGGTCTACAGTTCCCTGTATTTGAGAATAGTTCACACTCCCATTAATCACAGCCTTAGTCTGACACCAAAGAGCAGCTGGCATCCTCCTATTTTTAAGCATTGGCTGGCTACGCATATATGCCTAAAGAGATCATTGAAAGTAAATAACTGGAGACTCAACCTTCTACAGACATATTTGTGCAGAATTATGTCTGCACAAGATTATAGTATGACTTTTTATGATATTGAAAAGTCAACCTTCAAGAGAAGGTCCACCAAAAAGCATTCGGTGAATAAGTGTTGAGTGCTATACAAGACACTTCCTTTGGTTTCCCTATCCCCGTGTCCAAGCTCTTTTAGCTACCTGCTCCTCACTGCAGCTTTTCCACACGAGGTCGCCAAGACTTTCCACAGATTTCTATAGGTGAGATACTTACAGCAGGCAGAGTGTGCTGCAAGTCAGGGAGACTTGGAAGGAACTACGGACAAGCAGGTGAGAAGGACTTTCATGTAAATCCGTCCTCAATCTGTTCAATAAAACAATATTAAATGGAGTTACCCTCCAGTAATTGGGCCATTGGCAGGATACATTTTCAGCCACCAGACCAAGGATCAGACCCTTTGTTGAAATAATCCTTGCATACTGTGCTGCTTGAAAACTGCATGTTATTCCAGAGCCCAAAGTCGCAGACATTGGATAGAACAGCATAACAAGCTTTTGATCAGACAAGTATAAAGACCAGTCAGATCATTCAATCTACAAAATAAGGCAGTGGTCACTTGTGCTGAAAGAATAGACTTCAGCATGTAAATAACTAAATATCCCTCTTCATACTGTATCTTATGAAATATGTTTTATCTAGGATCAACCCCAAAAGCTTCCAGTTCACAATATACAACACCATACCCAGGAAACATCTGCTACCTGCAAGAAGCGCCATGGTAAGTATAAAATCTCAAAAGCCAATAGCATTTTCAGTACAATCAGTGAAAAAGTCTTGGGATAATTACTGCATAGGATAGGAGTGCTGAATCCCATTCAAATCTGTACAGGGCAGCATAAGGCAGTGGATTTGGCAGCCATCTTTGCAAACTGAATGCCAGTTCAAAGTTTAATCTTTTGTCACAAACATCACAAGCAGACACTTTCCAAAAAAAGTATTGCAAATCTAAACGATCCAGGTAACTTGATCAATCCCTAAAATGTAGGGACTACAAACATGGGGCATCACACGCATTTAGAAGATGACACCTCTTCATATATCACTTACACATAAAGAAACATTTTTATTCCCACATAAGGAATGTTCGTGCATAACTTAGCTTGGCCTTTAGTAATGCAGAACACAGCTGCTATGTTTCATTGAATAAATTAACAAAGCAAGCAAGGAATTCTGGGAAATGTGCTTGTTGCTACCTTGCCGGAAATGGCAAGTCGTGATAAAGGGGAAAACCTGCTGACAAGTCAGCAGCCTATAGAGGAAGCTGGTGTTGTGTTGTACATAATGTCCATATCCTCTTCATTACTATACTGTTCTGAAGAGAACCAAGAGATATTAAAGCACTCTAGTTCACAAACTTTTTGGATTTCGAAATAGACATTCAGCAACTATTATGAATGCTAGTGTTCTCATGTAAGACATTCATATTTTGTGGCATACATCAATAAAAAAACTGGTCAAGAAATAATCCCAATCAGTTAGCAAATACAATAAAAATGACATCACCTTCACCTAGACAGTCATATTGTTCTGCTGTGGAGACGTCATAGTAGAAAGAAGTACAAAGGCTCAGTGAAACACTTTGCCGAATATTGCAATAGATCCTAACTAAACTACAATGGCCACAGAGCAGAAAAGTGTGCGCTAGGTACGGCCTCACTAGCAATCCAACGTCGTTTGGTTCCTTAGATCTTTGTGACAATGGGCTCCATTCACACAAACACACACAAATAATAATATCAAATAAAATAAAAGGACACTTAACATATTAGTTCCAAAAAAGAGCAATGGCAAAATGTGCAAGAATGGATGTCAGGAAGTTGCTGAAGCCAAACCAGGAATTGTTCCTTAGAGTGGGGAGAACTGGGTCTTCTGCTTGGTGCAACTAGGTCCTGGCTAGTTTATGTTTTCAATGCTTGCTGGTGTAGAGTGTCTCTTCCTCTGTGTCTGTTTCATCCTGGAACTCATTGCTTAGTAGGGATTTCTTGGATCCGGCCGACATCAGGCGGATCTCATCCTCATAGTCGTCATTATGCTGTCGCAAGCGATGGAATCCATCTTTGTGTCTGTTGGACTTGATAGAGCACACACACCAGATAATGCAGGCCATAAGAAGCAAGGCTGTCATTGTGGCTCCTGAAAACCAGTAACAAAACGGTTAAAAACCGAATCTTAAAATAAGAATGATACTACAAAACAAAACACACACTGTGGGAATCAAATATTAGCATGGTTATTTACGACAGTCCTAGCCAATATAGTCATTCAAATGTTGCTGTGCAGTCAATTGAAATCTAATTGTGTTTTTTTGGTAGGCTATACAATTGTGCTTCCAGAAAGTGCTGGATTATTTGTAAAAGAAAGGCTTGGGATGAATAAATGCTTACATCCTATTTAAACTCAGCCTTCATCCTGTTTGCTTGTTAATGGAAGGTTAGGTCATGAATGAATTCAGTATTATGTGCAATTTACATCCTATTTCACATATAAAGACGCCATCTCCCTCTCCCTCCAGCAGTCTAAAGTCCTGTGAGTCATCACATAGTGCATAGGACGTGAAGACGCCGAGGGACATTCCACCACTGGAGCAGAGGAAGAGGCAGGCTGTGGAGACGAGTCTAGCAGCCGCCAGCCACCTCCAAAGTTCAGCTCAGTATATCTTTTTTTATTTTCGTCCCTAGACAAAAACTAGCACTTAACCCTTACAGTGGGGCTACACAAGCACTGCAAGAGTTAAGAATATTTCTGCCCAGAGTACTTCTTTAATGACGTTAATCAGTCCCAAGTCTTTCTATAAGGACAGATCATGGAGACGGTGCTCAGGAAAACCTGGGTCGAGCCATTTTGCCTGCTGCAACAAAACATCTGAAAAGAAAAATATTTGTAAAAGTTTTTTTCGATATGCTGTGTGAATGGAAACACACAACAAACAGAGGGGTTTTCTCAGATTTGACTGCAAAGTTGGAATACACTTTAAAGATTATTGTTGGATGTCTCCAAAGGTTACTGCCCTCCGTACAATGTAACCTGCCTTATTAACAACATACCGTATTTTTCGCTCCATAAGATGCACTTTTGTCCCCCCAAAAGGAGGGGGGAAATGTGCCTGCGTCTTATGGAGCGAATCCCGACGCCCGAGACATGCAGTTTCGGGCGCCGGGCGAGTAGTAGGAGCCACTGCTCATTTAATATGAGTGATCTAATGAGATCACTCGTATTAAAACCGAGCAGCGGCGATCGAGATCAGTAATAGGAGCCACTGCTCGTTTAATAGAACATAGTCTGCTCTGTGCAAACACTGAGACCGTGGCGCTGTAATTACAGCGCCACCTGTCTCAGCAGTCACTAACTGCAGAGTCTGTCACAGCTTCTGTCATAGAAGCTGTGACAGAAGCTACTGTCTGTCGAGTGCTCCATAAGGCGCACCGGACCTCACTGAGTCCTATGGTCCGGTGCGTCTTATGGACCGCAAAATACGGTAGATATGTGTTTGATTAGTAACAGTTTGTCAATAATAAATATGTTACAATATCCTACCTGCAATAGTAACAACCAGCTCCCGAGGCAGTCCAAAAATACGGTTATCCATGACAAAGATTATTTCAACAGAGCTAGCTGCATCATGTCGCACATGAACCTGGAAAGAACACAAAAGACAAATAATAATGTAATAAATTAGCATTTTGTGTTTTTGTACTCTACTGTAAAACCCTTTCTTAAGTCCATTAAGAGACACAGGAAGTCTTTGGGTTATACTTCAGCCTACAGGGAAATTAGACATTGCTAAAAAAAGGCCGACCCAGGGTAAAACCCCCTCCTACTACCAGCCTGCAATGCCGCACCACGAACATGATGAAAAAAACACAGAGGGTACCCGTTTGCCTCAATAAGCTCTAAGAAAAGGTTTCTATGGTTAGTACAAAATTCCAATTTTCTTTCAGTGGGTTCTGAAGCACAAAGAGAACCAGAGTCAGATCACACTGTTACTGTAGGTGGAAGGGAAGTGGGAAGCCACACGGGAGACTCTTTGTAAATAGGCCTTAAAGAATGAGAGGCTGACACTCTGAAATGCAAAGAAAAGGACAAAAACCTGACCCTGGATAGTGCTGAGGTCCAGATGGTGGTCTACACACAGCTGCAGGAAGGAGAGGATCTGTCCCAGAGAGAAGCTGCTGAGGTGAAAGACACAATAAGTGAAGTAAGCCTTGCGCATCTGATGATAGACTCTGTGGCAAGTAGACTCCCCAGATTTGAGCATGACGATATATCTGCTAGAAATCTCAGCAGGTTGGCTTACCACACCTGCCTAAGACCAATCCAGAGCAATGAGGATCACTTGAATGCCCTCCATCTCGATCCTGTGAAGCAGACTTAGAAGTGGTTTCAGCTAAGGAAATCTGCATGACAACTGTCTTCGATTGGAATGTACAGGGCAGAAATGTGCAGTTATGCCCAGGACAAGTTGTGCTCTACCTCTCTTGCCATAACAAGACTTCTGGTTCCTCCCTGACGGCCGATTTATGCTACTGCCTGGGCCTTATTGGATTGAATCACCATCAGATAGCCCTCCAACAGGTTGGTCCAGTGCGGAATGCTTAGCCAAATCGCCAAAAGCTTCAGCATGTTTATCAAGAGGAGAGATTCCTCCGATGATCAAGTCCCCAAGAAAGATTGTGGGAATCTTGCAAAAGACGGGAAGAAAGGGACTTCCCTAACTACAGAGCTGGATTCCTAAGTCACCAAGTTAGGGACATCTTGATCCTTGTTGTCAAATGTATTGGCCTGTCCTGGGGAAGAGCACTCTGGCCTAAGACAGGTCCAGGACCAGACCCAGATATTCCAAACAATGAGCCTGTTCCAGTGATGATTTCTGAAGGTTCAGAATGCAGCAAACCTCTGTAAAGTTTGGACTGTCAGAAACCTTGTCAACTGTTCCCTCAACAGGAGGTCCTCTTAGTATGCAACTATGGGGATGCCATGAGAACACAACTGGGCTAACACTGGGGCCAGCATGTTGGTAAACATACAAGGTGCAGAGAAGAGGCTGAATGGTAGGGCTACACATGGTAGTGTGGGGGTCCCACAGCAAAGTGTAGATATCACTGATGTGCTGGAAAGATGGGTACATGTAAGTAAGCATCTCTGCTTTCCATAAAAGCCAGAACATCTTCCTGGTGCAGAGAGGCAATGACGGATCTGGTGTTTTCCATCTGCAACTTTTGGGCCCGAATGGAAACATTGAGCCTTGAGATCCAAGATGAGGTGAATGCTTTTGACTTGGGAATAAGGAACAGTTTAAAAAAAAAAAAACCCTGGAACCATTTCACTGTAGGAACTAGGTGTTTAATGGAAGCCTTATTCAAACATTTATTCTCACTGCTGCTTCATCATAAACATGCTGTCAAGAATTTACTTTTTATGGCAGTATGGAAATTCAGATGAGCACAGGAATAAGAGTGTATCCTTGCAGAAAACAAATATCTTCCAAATTTATTGATAAAATTATAAAGAAAAATAATAGTAAGAAAAGTGTCAGGTTAATGTGCTTATTTCAGGCTGTGAAGGCAGAAGTAGCTACAGAACAGCTCAAAGCTAAAAACCCGGCACACAAAATGTAATTTCAATATATTTCACAATAACCAAAAACATATCAATGCACATTATGTACACTAAATGCCTTTGTAAACTCAAACCAAGGGAACCAAGCGTGAGTGTATGGCCAGCTTTTACAACACCCATGTGGTTCCTGTGAAAAAGAGGAGGTACAACTGTAGGAGGGAACAGAGCGGGAGTTGAGAGGGTGGAGGATATCATTTTAAAAGTAGCAGAGATGTTAAAAAGTCCAGTAGGTGTCTTAGCAAACAAGACTCCGCGTATACATTAAATAATAATTTTGGGTGGACAATTCCATTAACCCAAACCAATCAGCTTACTTTAGTAATAAGCAACATCCGACTGTACTACATACAGTTAAGATGATCTGCTTAAGCAAATACATACCTGTGTATTCTGCTGCTGATAGCCCTCTGCAATGGCATTAATATTATGGAAACCTGGTGCAAGCAGAACATGGAAGTATCCTCCCTCTTTGGTGTAGACTTTTGCTAGTTCATTGAAGATGATGGTGGCTTTAGGGACAGGTTTCCCCTTCTCGTCCTTTACAATACCATGCACACCTTTATGTACCTGGAACCAGGAAATGCATTGTGAGGACATGCACGTCATTCTTGAACACACTAACCTGACACAGCTGGCATCAAATGCAATGTTTACCATAGCTGGAACATAGCACTTCATCTAATAATTAAGAGCTGTGGGGAGGTCATTCTCATGAGATCATGTGCCCACTGTGCAAACAAGAATTGTTCTTAACAAAATACTATTTATATTCATAAGTCAAATAAATACAATGGAAAAGCATAAGTGTCCACCGGACATTATAGGTCACAGTACCCAAATGAATCAACTAATAAAAATAAAATAAAAAATGAAGTGCAATAAAGATCAGATGTAAAGACTGATGACACAACCTAATAAATCCATAACACACAGCATATGTAAGAAGTGCAGAAACAGATTGACAGTCATACACAGCACATACACACTTGCCTGCTTCACACAGTTCTGTTGTCAATGTGAACAGGAGCAGAGCTGGCTGTATTCCTTTCCTATTATTTATTGATGAATACCTTTAAATCCAAAGATTCTATTACACGTTCAATTTCCATTTACGTTACTGCCTACTCTAGTTACACTTCTCTTTCCCTTAACCCATCAATGTCTGCGGGCTTTCTTGTATCATACCAAACGCCAACAACATTGAGATTACAGGGTCCTGACTAAGTTCCACAGTCTGAAGTTTATTGCAATTAAAATGCTAAAGATTCAGCATGTTTATCAAAAGGAGAGATTCCTCCAATGATCAAGTCCCATGCACCCACAGGGTGCTCAGGAGAGATTGTGAGAATCTTGCAAAAGACAGGAAGAAAGCAATTCCCCCGACTCTTTCCTTTAACCTAACAACGTCTGCAGGCTTTCTTGTATCATACCAAACGTCAGCAACATTGAGATTACAGGGTCGTGACCAAGTTCCAAAGTCTTATTTGACACACAAAAAAGTATTCATGGTAAGCAAAGTTCAGTAACACAGCAACCAATCAGATGGACTGGGTTTTGATCAGCTGAGATGAGCTAATGCACGTTATGCTGTTATAGAAGAACTCCGGGCAAAACTTTTATTACCCTTGAAGGGTTAACTGCTCCAAAAAAAAAAAATTAAGCAGCAGTCCAAAGTCCCATTAATCATCACGTTCCACACATGCTGTAGAGACATGAGGACGCTGAGGAATATTTCAATGTTGCCGCGTAGAAGGAGACCGGAGAAGCAGAGCGCTGCTCAGCTGTTCAGATGCAGTTAATCGCTGCAGTGCTGGTGGTAGCCCCACTACAAGGGTTAATAAAAGCTTTCCCTGGAGTTGTCCTTTAAATGGGCTAGTGTAACGCACCAGGAAAGAACCTCAACAGCTACAAATGATGAAAGGATCAGACAGAGAATAAGTATGCAGCAGTGACTGAAAGATGTAACCTAATCTAAGTTTGAGGCCAAAATGCTGATCATTTGTGAAAACGGAAGACTGTAAAGAGCAGCTACCAATCAGTTTTATTCAGGTTAGTGCATTCAGGAAGACATCAGAAAGCATTTGACCGAGGTTGCCGGAACCTCTTGTCGAATCTTAAAGCTTTTGCTAAAAACAATTTTATAACAAACTGCTATTCTAAATTTGTAATTCAAGTGTTTTCACAGAATATCCAAAATCATAACTTGCATTTCCTCTGGACGGCACTCTATGCATTGTTGTTGTGCCAATCTGAAGGCCACACGAAGTTTGGAGGTCTGCAGCTATTGACTCTGCAGACAGTTGGAGACTTCTGCGCACTGTGCGCTTCAGCATGCGCTGACCCCGCTCTGTCATTTTACGTGGCCTACCACTCCGTGGCTGAGTTGCTGTTGTTCCCAGTTGCTTCCACATTGTTATAATACCTCTAACAGTTGACCGTGGAATATTTAGTAGCAAGGAAATTTCACGGAACACCTGAATCCAATGATTTGGAGGGGTGTCCCAACACTTTTGGCAACATAGTGTATGTGTACTATATGTGTTCTTACTCCTCCTCCACATGAAGGAACAGAAGAGGGTTACCCCTCTTCTGTTCCTTCATGCCTCCTTTTGATTGTGTTCCCGAGGCAGCAGTGGTTACGGAGGGCGGAAACGATGCCTAGTATCGTGCCTAGTATCTAGGGACACCAAAAAGAGACTCCAAGACGTAGTGACGCATGTGCAGCAGTCTCATACTGTGCGGGGGTGCCCCGCCTCCACCAAACCACTGCCCTGGAAACCAGTGACGTGGCAGCAATCCGTCTTCACGGACGGACACATAGTCAGTCTGGGTCACATCTCGGATTCAAGCTGCTTCTTTCCCCTAGCACCATTTAGAGGTCAGTGGCCCCAAAACATTGGCTGTATGATGCATGTGACAATTTAATAAAAAGTGCCTATACTTCTTGCACGCATCATCGAGTGCTGGTGACTTCTATTATTGACCATAAAAAGAATCCGTCACCTCCCAATGCTATCATATAGAGGCTTGTTAGCTTGCGATAGCAATAAAGACAAAAAAAGGGGGGGGGGGGGGAGAGTGTTTAAAAAAAAAAATTGATTTAAAAAAAATTCAAAGCAACCCTGTCACTCCCGTCATCTGAATGCGAATGCAAATGTGAGTGTTGGGCATGCACGTGTACATAAAAAGTGATTGCGCTACATATGTTAGGTATTGCTATTCAATTGCCATAATTCGCTGTGTTTTTTTTTACCAGTGTTTGTATACACAAAGTCATTTTAATTTATTTTTTCCTTAAAATATCGATTTGATAAACATTTGGGCAAATGGCATGCAACCTTAAAAAAACACAGCTACCATTTTTTTTCTATTTTACAGGGCCTCTGCTTTCAGAAAATATATAATAGTTAGGGGGTGCTCCGGACCTGAGGTGGTTAAACTTGAACCTTCTGATTGTAATATCACATTAAGGCCATTAGATGGCACTAAAAGTATACAGCGTTACCTCGGTTCACAAACTTAATTCGTTCCACGATTCTGATTGCGAACCGAATTGGTCACGAACCGTATCATATTTCCCCATAAGGTTTAATGTAAATAAGGTTAATGCGTTCTGAACCATATGTAAATGTTTTTTTTTTTAACCACAAAAAATATGAAACAAAGTACAGTACGAAGAGAGTGAAAGAGAGCCTTTGCACTTTCTTTGGAGCCATGCTGGATTGAATAATACTGTACAGTACTGTATGTGCTAAAAAGCACACAAAAAAGCTTCACAGCAAGTGTGCACAAGTCTATCTGCGACCGCAATCTCGACTAGAGAAAGCCACGACCACGTCTCAGAGCGGGGAAGATGGCCGCGGTCATGTTGGTCACCCGATTTGGAGTTCGTGAACGGAAGCAAAATTTTGCTGAACTTCCTGTTCGCCAACCAAATTGTTCGCGAACAGAAGCGTTCAGGAACCGAGGTATTACTGTATAGGCAATCAATATTTATGTTATTATTTATTACAGATATTTATATTTTCCATGTGCCAGCTAGTGGCCATAATGCAGTATTACAACCAGAAAGTTTGAATTCAATTACACTTTTTAAAAAACAAACAAACTAAAAGAACATTTCAACATATAACACATTGAACAAACGTTTGAACATATAAGGGCAGAGCACAAACATTCACAGGGTGAACAGTTTTGCGAATTGTTTACAAATCAATCCCATTACATCCAGTTCCTTACCTCAACTAGCATGGCCAGAAGGGATTTCTGGTTCTCAGTCCAGAGGGACTTCAGCTGTCCAGCACCAGGAAATAAGCAGCAGCTTGTATACACTGTGATCTCAGGACAGTGACCATGAGTAACACTGAAATCCTGCAACAACATATGTTATATGTAATATTTAGTCATGCACCTACTCTGTAACAGAGCTTTCTTACAGACAAAATAAGTCATGTTGGTGTTCCCTTATACAAAGACACGCACACTACTTGAACGTTTCTACTTGTATTTCAAACATGGTCACAATCCTAGTTTTCTGCACTGTAAAATATTCACTGTACACATCCCCATTTAGTGTGCTATATGGCAAGTCTATGCAACTAAATTGAAAGGTGGATGATGCCTGTATATATGGGGACACTTTCAGTCCACATTCTATAAATCCCTCTACTGACTGGCAGCAAGCGCAAGAATACATTCAGTCTAATAACTAAATCCACACAGCAGGTGGTACATGGGGCTTTAAAAAAAAACAAAAAACTGTATCAAGAGAAATATGGGTGCTGCTACTGTTGACTTCCTCTAGAAAATAAAGCTGCCTGGCAACCAAGAAGAACTTTATACTTGAAAGAACAGTTGAAGTCACTGCACTCGGACAACACACAGAAAATAAATTGTACAATAAGATGAGAACTACTAATGTAATAACATGTTTCACAAAAAAGAACTGAGGTCATTAGCAGCACAGGAAACCAGAATTTTCAGAAGGTAAGCAATGACAGTCTAGATATTTCTACCAGTCCCGGTTTTGTTAGAGGGGAATGCATACTCTAGATTTTTTAGCTATACATTGTATAAAAGTGAGATTGATTAAATGCAAATAATATTGTCAACATCTGTTACTCCATATAATTTGTAACTTATTTAAATGTGCGTCCAACGCACTCCAATAGACAGAAAATTGGACATGCCCTATTTTTTCAACACTGCGCACCGCAAGGCACAGGGGTACATTATTGTGTCTTGCGCTGCAACACATGTGCATTCCTTTAGATTGTTGAGGGGCCAGTAAATATAAACACCACCACAGTGCACTAATATGTGCATTGTGTGCTGCAAAGCACACATTATCACAATGTATAGGTGCGAGTGAGCCCTAACCTACATGGACCATGCTTCTTGTTTTGCATTGCTACAGAATGGTTGTGTTTATTCCTCCACCTTATCATTTTTGTTTTCCACGGATTTACTGAAACCAGCAATACCTGTATGGCTAATAACTAATCTTAATGGTTGCTAAAAAGAAATGCTATGGGAGGCGGAGCTAAATATAGGCTGAGCTAATCTACAAATTAACTGAAAATACACTATATATTTTCTTTAAAGTGACACTTAACTGAGGAGTTAAATCTTAAAAATGTATTAGAGTACCTTAACTAGTAACAAAAATATACTTGTATATCACTCGACTCTAGATCCTCAAATCTGTGAATTGGTGCTGACAATCTTAAAAATGCATTCAAGTACCTTAACTATTACCAAAAATGTATCTTATTTGTGTATCACTCGGCTGTAGATTCTCCAATCATCTCTGAATTGGTGCGGACACTGTCCTTCCTTCTGGAGGGGGGCTACTTTTGTTCCCCATGGTCTCTGTGTGTGTTGTAAAGTAGTCACCACTCCAAGCTCGCTCCTGTGATAGAATGCAACCTCAATACAAATTAGTAAACTTAATGTGAGATTGTAGTCCATCACAGGAGCGAACTTGGAGCGGTGACTACTTTACAACACATGCAGGGACCAAGGGGAAAAGTAGGAAGGACAATGTCAGCATGAATTCAGAGATGATTTAAGAATCTACAGCCGAGTGATACACAAATAAGAGTTACTTATTTATTACTGGTAATTATATGGTGCCTACAATTTTACACAGCGCTTTACATGGTTGCACATTCACATCAGTCCCTGCCCTCAAGGAGCTTACAATCACAATTTTTGTTAATGGTTAAGATAGTTGAATGCACTTTTAAGATTTAACTCCTCAGATTGGGGTCAATTTAAAACTAAAACTGGTGGTTTCTTCTATATTAGGTTACGGTGTCCATTTTGAACAGAGCAGCAACTTAACTTGGCTCTGGATTTGGAAGGGTGGATGCGTATGGTAAAGAGGTGATGGTGGACAATTTGTAGATCTAGTACAAGCACTAGTCGGTACAGATTAAATATACAGTCATGAAATTTGAATAGGACAAGTACAGTTAATGCCAAGATCAGAACAATAAGCCATGTACAAAGTGCACTGACCAAGCCAGAAGCATCCTTTATTTATATGATTACAATAAGATGAAACTGCTGCAACTGGATACCATAAATCATACCTATACTATATCAGGGGTGTGATGGATTTTAATCCCCTATGTGATAGGAATAACATTAAGTGGAAAAAGTAAATAAAAATGTAAAGAAAATTAAAAGTTAAAAAAATTATAAAATATATAAAGATTTTTTTAAAAATGGAAAAGTTAAAAATAAAATAAAAATTGGTTTTCTGATTGGCTGGAAAGCCGGCTTCCTGGCCAATCAGCATCAAGCCAGTTTCCCGGTCAATCAGGTCATTACTCGCCACCGGCTTCCTGGCAATCAGGAACCTGGGCGGGATGTCATTACCCGCTGCCCGGCTTCTTGATTACCAGGGAAGCCTGCTCCATGCTAGCAGAAGCACCGGTATTAGTATTCAGTGTCGGCGAGATCCGAAAGCAAAAAAATCGGTATTGGTGCATCCTTAGTTTTGATTAAAACTATTTTTTTGTATTGGGACAAGTAGATTGTCATGAAGGACAAAGTAGATTTGGCCCCCGCTTTAGCCCTTGGACAAGTAGTTTTTTTTTTAAATTTCCACACCCCTGCTATATACTAACAAATGAGAAGTAGAGAGTGCTTATTCAGTATATCTTTTCTCTACATCTAGGTAGGAAATGACTCCCATCTCTTGCCAATATGGTTTTGCAGAGCTAGTTGGATAATATTTTTATGGTGGATTACCTTCATGCTGCCTTGATGGCCCCTCCATTCTGCCCCGCTGATCACTCCTCCAGGAATATTCTCATCTACCCAAAGACGACAATATCAGTCATAAATATTAATGTCACATCACTAAGTCGTGCATAACAAAGAAGCTTGTCAATACGAACCTGATTTGTTTGGACATCCTGGGTGTCCCAGATGTATTGTAGGGTGGTTATTTGCATACACAGAAGCCAAATGTTTCAGAGTGTCTTTGTTCTCCACTATCAAATGAAAACACATACAAAACAGTATTATTAATTCAATGATTAATAAAAAATGAGTTAAAAAATATAAAAAAGGCACATTTATTTCAACATTTTGACACCATATAACTGTTTGCTTACGCACAACAGGCTTGACAATTACACATATAATTTTAGAGTTCTAAGAAACAAATCCCCACACTGACCTGAACATATATCACCGTATGTCATAGTTTATATTTTTATCACTTGTATTTTATTTTTATGTTTTAGTAAAAGAAAACAAAGAATACACTTGACATGTGTTAGTTGTATGCAAATGTTTCCACAAGGTGGCGACATACTAAAGAAGTGTCACTACACTCACCTGTATGCACTGGGTTGTCATATGGATATGTAACAAGCAGAGAACCGCCATCCAAAACCACAGAAAGGGTGAAATCTTGTTTTAAGATTAAACCATCAATAATGACATTAGTCTCTTTTTCCCTCTCACCAACAGGACCAGAGGAGTTACCTGTCAAAAATAAAGAAAAGCAAATTAAAATGCTTAACTATACAAGGATCAAGTCCAACAACAAAACACACTCAGCTACAGCCTCCAGAACTTATCTTAGAACAACATCATTTAAACCTTTCATCTTTACACACAACAGCAATTAAACCATTCAACAAAACATAAATTGTCTGTTATTTAAGTTAAAAGCTGTACTATGCCAAAAGACCAGGTAGACTGTGTGCATATTATTCACTATCTACTCTAAAATAACAAATATGATTTTAACACGGAGAAAAAAAAATCTAAATATTGTTGTGTTTGCTTTATGAATGACATACAATATATCTAAAAAAACATTGGGGGGAATTTATCTAAACTGGAGCAGACAAAATCTAGAGTATTAGTTATAGCTGTACAGTAATGCCTTTCCATTTTCTGTTACTCTTCTATTGAACTTCTATTACCCTGGCCAGAACGCAGAAAAGGAACTCTTCTCATTTCTTAATTAATTCACCTCCATAAACGAGGAGTAAAAAATACTAAAAATCACATCAGATATTAGAATATAAAAGAAAGTGGATATTCCTTACTTAAAAAATCACTGTCCAGATCCTTGCCATTGGCATTGGTTTGTCCACTTTTTGAGGTACAATCTTTCTCCGCTGCTTTCTCTCTACCATCGGGATTCACCAAAGGCACAATAACAATTCTTGTTCGGTCAATTAACTAAAAGGCAAAAAAAAAAAAAAAAAAAAAATTACAAAATCAGATGAAATATGTTTTCTTTAAAAACGATTAAAAACCTAAAGTTAGCTATGTATGTAAATAATGTATGCAGAAATCATCACTGTTTCTCTGATAGCTAATCCTGTACAACGCAGTCATTTAGAACATTTCTGCATCACTTAAAAGGACAAAATAAGCTAATAAAGTAGTATTAATTCTTAATTCTAAGCAAGTTTCCAAGAATTTAACATAACTTTAGTGCAGCACATCACATTGCTACTTTAAACTTCTGTTTTTGACAGTTATGCGTTTTTCTGGGAGCTCCAAAAGCTGACTCCGTGAGCTTATTTACCTGTCACACAGGCTAAGGAAGAGGGGGAGAAAGGGAAAGCGAAGGAGAAAGGGGGAGAGAAAAGGGTAGGAAGGAGGGTGAAGAGGGAGAGATGTGCAGCAGGGAATCAGACCAGCACAGCAGCACATATAGCTGCTTTTGTGGTTGTAATGGATTACAAACTAATACAGGGTTTTTTAAACTGCAATGATTCCATTCTTAAATGAAATCTATTGGGTTTTTATCCTCTCACTGGTCACAGTGGATCTCCAAGTTACAGGAGACAAGATCTCTAATCATGGTTCGCCCAGGATAGGCTGGATCCTTGGGTATGCAGAGCAGGAGCATAAGAGAGGTATCTGCAAGCACCTTGTGGTTTCTGAATTAAAGCAGCAGTGTAAGTTTGCCGGAGTAAACACAGGTTCCCTTTGTGTAAAGCATACTGTCAAGCAACCATAAATCGTATGTGGTGGTGTTCTCACGCAAACTCCTAGAATGCTCTGCCATTCGACTTCGGAAAACATATAGAAGGGCACACATGAATTTGTGCATAATTACTAGCATGTCCTTGTGCCGCTAATTCATTGAGCAGAATCTGGCCTGTTTGTTACAGGTCTGTGTTCTTGCTACAGAATACGTAATGACAGAAATCTCACCTTTGTTATTGCACTATTCTTCTTATAGTTCAAGCACAAAAATTCTGCAAATGTCAAGAGCAACTCCGTGCCGACTGGAGCATTGCCATGGACTCCGGCAACAAACCTGATTTTTGGCTCCTCAGGTTCAGACACATTTGGTTTATTGGAGATCTCCAGAGACCAAATATAACGAAATTCAACACTCTGACCCAACCTGTACAAAAAAGCAGAAAGAAATGGATTATAATTATCTGCTATAATATAGAACAGGCAATGTATTATTACCAAGTCAAGAAGCCCAGCAGAAACCAAGACTCCATCAGATATCGCCCTGCTGTAATAGGGAAGGATCCTTACTGCCAGATCCCATAATCGGAGACAAGGATATCAGAGTCTACATAGTATACTACACTTCGACTCAGATTTCATTTGTTCCAAAATCACATCCCCATATGGAAGGCATGGCAATGTAAACAGCCAGATAACGATACTTGTTTTTTGTGCACACACACCATGGTCCTCATGTAGGAAAATACTAGGTCTTGCATTTAATTTACATCTTCCTCTTAAGTGTCACACAATAGCAGGCAAGGGCCTGCCAAAACCTAGTTTACGGATTTACACGCCAGATAAGATTTCACACAAAAAAATGTGGTGCCATGAAACGCAGCCCTGTTCCATTCATCTATCACAGTAAGTGCAAAGGATGGGGCAGGTACTGGTATTGGCATACCCAACAAAAGAAGAAATGTTGATATTTAACTAATTGGTGAGGCACAGAATACCAGAAATCAATTTATTAAAACTGACTGATGGAATACATGGAATTTTTCACGTATCCAAAACATACCACCATAAAATGTATTTATGAATAATGTTTGGTAAGTAGCGATTACTCAATTATAAGAAGTAAATAAAACAAAGTAGATTTACCTGGCGAGTTTAGTAATATTTGGGTAATTAAGATTCAGTCCACGGAGAGATTCTGAAAGGTCGTGGTAAGACCTATATCGATACAGATCTATGTCACTTGACTGTGACAGTAAAAGGCGCTCCAGACCATTTTCAGCGGAAAGATCCTTAATTAGAGTCTCAAATTCCTGTGTGTTGGGGTCTGGTTTTTCTGGTTGGACTACAGATATTTTTCCTTTGTCTTCTTTATGTGTATCTGTACCTGAGCGGGTAAGTGTAAAGTTTGTCACAACAGCATCTCCTTCGGTGACATTAATGGTTTTCGTAACCGGAACATACCTGGAGGAAAAGAAAAACAGTGCAATCACAAAAAAAAGATATTGGCACTACCAGTATGGTTTTTGGTGGGCGTGGGATTATGCAACAATCATAGAAACATAGGTTACAAACAAGCAGGGCAAGGGACATGATTTTTTTTGTGTTGCAGTTAAAGTGAACCTGAACTTAAAATGTAATGATTCTCTATTTTATAGAGAACATTTAGGTAATATTAATTGCACCTAAACCTGAAAAGTTCCCTGTGACAAATAGTGCACTTCCCAGTGAAGGTACCTAGTCACTCTTGTGCCTACAACCTCAAAGCTGTACATCTAAAGTGGGAGATCTAAGGCACTGCTGCCTCTGACTTCTAGCCTCAGGAGATATGGAGTATGATTTGGTTATGTCACTGCTGTACTAATCACTGCTCTCTTTGCTTGAGACTCTGATAGGAGGATGCAAAAACCTTCCTACAGGATCCTACAGGCAATACTGATGATCAGTATTTTTTACTCAGTCTGTCTTTATTGGGCAAAGCTCCCAGACTTCAGTTTCTCTTAAAGCAACACTTACAGGTCTTCCTTAACAATGTATTAGTGAATAGAGTGCAACCAATTTTTTGTGCCTTTTCTATCTATCTATCTGGAGTTCAGCCTTTATTATAATGTAGCAACCAAAAATAAATATATCACAATGGTGTGAATTTTATGCAGCGGGTAATACCTGGCAAAGGCCAATAAAAATAAGATAAAATAATAATTTTATAGTTTACTTCACAGCACCAAACAAAACAAAGGATTTGGGATGGTTTTACACATTCCCACCCCCCAAAAAAAAGACCAATGTCTTATCCATAGCTTTAAATTGGAGCTCATCTGTCAAACTGTAAAATAAGATGCCATGACCAAACATAACGATACCTACCCTCTTGCAGAGGCTGTAACTTTATATGTACCAGGCACCAGCAATCTCCAGTAATCCCCAGCTTTGTCAGAGGTCACAGGATGATTAATGTCAGCAACACTGATAGTGGCATTGAAGATACCTCTTACATCTGTGGCATCAAGCACAAACCCTTTGATTCCTTTGTGTACCTGAAGAAAGCAAATGTCAGTGGGATGTGGACAACACATAATGGTAGAAAATGCACAATTGCCAAACACACACTTACCTGTTTTATGAATTCCAGAAGAGATCGGTGGTTGCCATTCCAGTAAGCCGGAAGTTCTGACGCCACAGGATATTTCACACAGCCCTGCTCAATAGTCACTTCAAAACAGTTTGTGTTGAGATAATTCCAGTCTTGCATTCCACCTAACAATTACAATTTAAAGGTTTAATGAAAAATGTCCTAAACTAACTACACATTATAAACTCTACAACTTTTTCTGTTTATGGTTTGCCCATAAGGCTAGAAGACATACCCATGTGAGGGACTTCAAAAAATTAGGAACATTTTCTCAGCGTTGCAAACTGCCAATGGCTGGGCCAGCATAGTAACAGCATGGCTCCAACTGATCAAGCTGGTCATACACTGAGCAATTTCTCTAGTTAAGCCTGCTGAACGAGAGAAACCACTACATTCCCCTAACCAGGCTAAACTGCGTGGATGGACACATCTCCCCTGCCGCATATTATATTCTGACAGTTGGCACACACAGCTGCCAGAACCCCCCGAACAGTGACTGTTGCTGATTGGCTGCAACTGAAGTAAGCAACAACAATCTCTTTTAGAAGGTAGTCAGCAAAGGCAGTCTGCATATTTCTCTCAGCACACATTAGGGGGAATTTATCAAAACTGGAGCAGGCAGAATCTGGAGCAGTTCTCGTGGCAACTAATCAGCTTCTCTCTTCAGTTTGCTCAGGTAAGATTTGAAAATGATAGAAGCTGATTGGTTGCAGTGAAAATCTGCTCCAGACTTTGTCTGCTCCAGTTTTGATAAATTCCCCCATTTTCTTTAAAGAGACCTTACCATGGGGGGAAGAAAATAAAAAAATACAGCAAGTGCATCTATGGAACAGCCTTCCACATGATCTTGCAATGGCTAAATATTGGGCTGTTCTGATAGATAAAGCTTCAGCGCTTACTGATGCTGATGTGTTGCTGGCCCCTTCTTGCAGTCAGTCAGCCATTGAAGCTGCCCATCATAGAGATGGTCCAACAGGATATGTGTGGAGACAGACTTATCAGCAAACTTTGACACTACCCATGGGTTCTGGAGTGTTGCAAATCACAGCAGCCCAGGACTCGCTCATGGCAGGAAGCTTTGGAAGGCTGCTACAGGAACATGCAGATACCTCTACATTCCTGCACTACATACTTGTAGTAGTTTTTGTTCCCCATGACAGAGTCTCTTGTAACATAGGAACATGTAGCACAAAGTGCTTTAGATGTGTGGTACTAATCAGATTTCACAGAAGTACACAGCCAACTCATTTAGCACTACATGGGCTCAATTACAGACTACACACAAGCACAAATGCGACTTGTTTTCTTTTATGATTAAAGTGTATGTAAGCCATAGATTTGATAGTCTTAAATAGTGTAGTGAAGTAACCCATCAGGTATTTTCATTACTATTTAAATCCCATCAAAAAGATTTCCCTCACTCCCTGTCCAAAGGATACAACAGGAAGCAAGAGAAAATCTTTCCAGAGCAAGGGAAATTCTCCTCTTAGACAGCTGTCACCAGAACAGGTGTCCCCCTTAGGGCCTGTTCACATGAGATCAGGTCCTGATCAGGTGCGGATCTGCAGACTGATGCAGTGCGTTCTTGCCACATTTTGGTCGCGTTTTTGATGCGTTCCAGTAAAAAAAAGAAAAAGGTTTGCTTTTGCTCGAGTGGGGCTGTTAGTACGTTAGCTGCAGTGCAGGGCGTTTTTGATGCGTTTGCTTTTCCTGACCGTTTCCTGGCCGTACAAAATGTGACATGCAGTATTTTTCTGTCGAAAGCTGAACGGACTGTGCACGTGAGAACTGTAGCCCATAAAACACATAGGGATACATTGGGATGCATTTTGAGTGCAGCAGCGTACGGATCCGGTCAGCACACAAAACGGATGTCGTGTGAACAGGCCCTTACAACACAATTACGTTAGATTTTCCATCACTTTCTGTACCGGAGACAATGATCACTGTGACAAATAAGCAGGCTCAATCTCTCCTGCAAAACAATGAAAAAAATGTTTTGCCTCTACACTTTAAGAGCAAAATGTGTCAGATGTGCACTTCTAAAATGTGCTTTTACTCAAACTTCTGCAGTCCCAGGCTCACTTGTGCGCAGACAGAAGCATTTTAACATGTTGAATGTATAAGGCCTTGTTCACACCAAATGCAGAGCAGAGCTGCATGAGTTTCTGCACACGCAGTGCAGTGGGTTGTGCCGCGTTTTTGATGGTTCAGGGCCGTTTTTGGTTTAAAAAAAAAAAACCAAAAAACTTTTTTTTAAATGGGCGTTCAGTGCGCTCCAGGCATTTGCATGCGTTCCAGAGCAGGTAAAATAGGGCCTGCTGCAGTTTTTTTTACCTGTTCTGGACCTGCTCTGGAACTGAACGCTGCGATGTGAACTGGAGCTAAAAATACCATTGGAATACATTGGACGCAGCACCTGAGCCAGGGAAGGACGTGTTAAATGATAATACATTTGATTGGTTTAGTAAATTACCTGGAACGTTATACCAATTGGCACCATTGGTGATTCCTTGAGGAAAATTATCATTTGGATAGATCTCCTTGCATGGGCTACCTGTGAACATTTTATTATTTTCCTACAAAACAAAAAAAATAAAAAAGGTATTATTTCCACATACTGGAACCAGAAGCTTCCTTTCCTAAAACAGAAATAGCAAAGCAGAAGTATAAATTGTTAGAATAGCAACCCCACATCCCACCTTGTATAAAAAGCTGCATAGTTTACATTTTTTGTTTTCTCATTTTGTCTCTCATAGTTGAGGTCTACCTATGATGCCAATTACAGGCCTCTCTCATCTTTTTAAGTGGGAGAACTTACACAATTGGTGGCTGACTAAATTGTTTCTTTGGGGCGTATTTGCCGCGTGTATCCATTGGGATACAGCCAGGTAGCCCTTGGAAACACGCGTTTTTTACAGCGAAACGCGCGCATATTCGGTACGCCTAGGTGTGAACCCAGCCTAACTGTTTTGTTTCTTTTCTGCAGACAGTAGAGTAATTGCCCAAGGCATACAAATAGACATAAAGTAACATTATATACCAGTTTACCATGGGTAACACTACTTGTCACATAGTGACTTCATTTTGCTCAGGCACAATGATGAATGTGCACTTTAAATATAACCTGGCTGGCAAATATAGGAAGAGATCTAAAATTAGACTAGATATCAACATGCAGCTAAACCCGAATATAGACTTTGCTATTAATTACAACAAGAGGAGTGCTTTGCTTTGTTGTGACACTTGAGGGTAAAGGATTTTAACTGCCGGAGCAAAGGGTTTTATTCAACTTAATAACTGTATATTGAAAATGTAGTAGAGCTGCAACAGTTAATCGATTTAGTCGATTAAAATCGACGATCGAAAACGTTGGCAACATTTTCGATCGTCGATTCGTCGGGAACAGGTGTAGGAGTGTGATGTGGTGGACTAGGTGTTTGGGGGTGCTGTGGTGGAACAGGTGTACAAGGGTGCTGTGTGAAACAGGTGTATGGGTGCAGTAGTGGAATAGGTGTGTGGGGGTGCTGTGTGGAACAGTTGTATGGGTGTGAAGCGGTGGAACAGGTGTATGAAGGTGCAGCAAGGAACAGGTGTATTGGCGTGCAATGGTGGAATAGTTGTATGGGGGTGCCGTTGTGGAACAGGAGTACAGGGGTGCTATGGTGGAACAGGTACGAGTTACGCTACGCACGCTACGCACGCCACGGCCACTCGTCCTGTGATGGACTACAATCTCAATACAAACTAGTAGTCCATCACTGGAGCCTTTTTTTTATTTTTTATCCGATTAACCGAACTCCATAAAATCGGCCAACTAATCGATTATGAAAATAATCGTTAGCTGCAGCCCTAAAATGTAGATTACTTATTTAGATTACTGCAGCCAGCAGCAGCAATGGCTGCTATTTCCAAACCAGCACTGACATATCCCGCATTACCATGGAGCACTCACAGAACTGTCAATTTTGCTGTAGAAACACATTCATGTTGCTGGTTGGTTTGCATTTGGACTTCTGTGCTCTGTCCCAGTGGATGATTGAATCTCTTTAAAACCCAACTACAGGGAAATTAAATGTTTTGCCTTCCAGTGGGGCTTCCCCCGCATTGTAAGGGTTAACTGCTTGTTTATGCCTAAAGGAACAGGAAAAAGTAATTTTACATACCTCATTCCCGCTTACCTGGCGCTCTCTCCCTCCACTGACTGTGGACTTTTCTTCTGCATCACGGCTATGGAGCATGCATCATACTTGACGGCGCCAGCGGTCCTTAGAGCGCTGGAGTGAAGGGGAGAAGAGGCTGAGGGGACTGGTCTAACAACCCAGAGTGAGCTGGCGGGAGCAGAGATCAGGAAAGTAAAACAGCTTTTTCCGGTTCCTTAGGCATAAAAGAGAAGTTAACTACAGTAAACTCCCAGTTATCCGGTACCCAAGGGGATTGGTAGATGCTGGATAACTGTAGTGGATAACTGCAGTTTCTGGTTGCTATTAGTGAGTTACTATTAACTCTCAAGCAACAACCCCTCCCCTACCCCATTCATCTGCTGGCTAGATTCTGCTATTGGCTATTTCAAATAGCCAATAGCAGGCTGGCTTTTGCACATGCAAAATAAATGTAATTGCTAACAAGATTTTTTTAGTGTGCACAAAAAACGAGGCAAACTAGCAAAAAAGAAATGGACATATGTCCTCGATTTTTTTATTGGTTGCTTGAGAGTTCTGGTTGCTTGAATGCCGGGGTAATGGGGCATTTACGGTATTGCAGTCTGGGGGCACAACTTTGAATTTCCCTGGAGTTGGGCTTTAAAGTAAATCTCTCATGAGAGAAAGGAGGGCAGCTATTGCTACAGCCATGCTGAAAGAGCTTATTAGAAAATCCTGCTTGCATAAAATGAAAATACTCTGCATTTAAGGTTTGCTTGGCAATAACATGTACAAGTCATTTTGGATAATTATGTAAAATAATGAATAAAATGAAAGGCAGGCTGAGAGTATAAAGGAAGATCATTTGTTCACCAGGTTTATCCCCTGGGCTCACATATCGCAGCAATTATTAAGCAGACACAGCAGCAAGGCAGCTGTTAGAGGCTCACACAGAGCTTTGTCTCTCTAAGCTCACCTTGGAATAGGATATTGCCAGTTGCTGGAACACAGCATCATCTGGGGATTTACTGTACATAGACAAGCCCTTCTCATCATCATCAAATGGATAATTAACCACAAGGGAGCCTGCAGAGACAAGTCCACAATTAGAAAATTCATGCATACACAGAAATTACATTTGGCATTACCTGATTTATAACCTTAACATTAAAGTCTTCCAAAGGAAAGCAGCTACACCCCATGAAACAATAGGGAATACTTGAGTCACGCAAAGGATTAAAGACTAATTTAACCAACAGGTCTATTCACAAAAAGGTGACGAGTTTGGAGAAGGCAGGAGAAGTGAACAATCTAGGACAACATAGCTGATGTGGAAAAAGTCTCCAATTCAGCTCACTTTCCGGTTCAGTTATGTTGTCCTAGATTGTTCCCTTCTCCTGCCTTCTCCAAACTCTTCACCCTTTTGTGAATAACCCTGCGAGGGAAAAATTGTCTTGGTTGGTCACAAAGTCCCATTTCTTTTCCTAGAGCAGTTCAGGAGAGTGAAGGATAAGTCTATAATGGGAGTTCATATATGAAAAGGTACCATTCCGGAATAGGTACAACAATAGGCTTCACCTGAAATCATGGCTCCCAGTCCCAGGAAGGAAGGTGGAAATTCAGGGGAGACTTTCCTCACTACTGCAGGGAAGGAGGGGTGATTTTTTTCAGTTATCCTAAATATACCTTTAAAACTTGAGAACTATGGGGTAAGTGTTTTCCTCCATAGTTCTCTTAAGGGTCACGGGAGGACATATACTAGCTACAGCTCGCGATATACTGAGACCATCGCAGCCGGGACAGATCCCTACAATGCTGTTGAGATTCACCCAGCTGGCTGATAGGCAGAGCCCGCTGTCAATCTAGAGGCAGAGCCAGCTGTACCCGCCCCCTCCCCTGTCCTTTCCTCCAGTCAGTGCTGGAGGATTGGGGAGGGGGGAATCCTGCGGGCCGGATTCGGCCCGCGGGCCTTGTGTTTGCCACCCCTGCCCTACAGGGAGCCGTGACTGACAGTTACTGCTCTCTGCAGTGAGATGATCGAGAAGTGAGAGACGCTATGTGTTCGCTCACTTCCCGATCTATTGAGCCGACATGTGACAGTTTAATTGTCCCACGTCGGCTCCAACTATGAGGATGAGTGATTTTCACTCACCTCATAGTTCTCCTTTAAGTGGTCAACAACTCAGATATCCCCCAAAGGGCCACAGATTATTTCTGGTCTTTCTCGGCAATAAAGAAAACACTGCTTCAGTTCATCAAGAAACCTGATATTAACTGTACAATGACAATAAAACTCTGATATTGTAAAGATGAAACCCCAGGAACAAGGTGCCTCTGTTTCACAATGAAGAATCTGTATGGTGCTCCCTTCAATAACTGATGCTATCACATTCATTTTCTAATTAAATGTAGTAGCCATATGTTCATACATTCAGGGACGCAGCTTTGTGATTAACACAACAATAACTGACTTGGTGGGAGCTCCAAATCATGAGAGTTTTAATGAATCATGCAGGACCATGATCTCGGAGCTATATGTAAGGATGTTAAGAAAGATTCCAGGATGTAGCAAAGAACTAGACCTAAAAATGATCACTTTTTGGCTGACTACAGCAAATGCTTTTAACACATAAAAATCACTTATAGCAAGGTTACTGGAAGTTCACAAGAAACTGCATGAAAAGAAGAACATTTACAGGAACTGCTTTCAGGAAATGGCATTCTGATACTCCAAAAGGAGAATTCATTAAGTAAAGGATGGAATATTTTTATATCAAAGGCCCATCTTTATAACCTATTAATCAAAGTATCAGACAACCTTGGTAAAAAATTCAAATATTAAAAGAACTTTACCCTTATCTACAAAATGACAACAAAGGCACCATTAGAAATGTTTAGTAATGACAATCTACAAACACATACTTCTATATAATTGCAAGCTTTTTATTCCTTGAATACCTTATTATTATTCCTATTCTTCTCCCTTTACTTCCTGGAACCCTGGCACATGTGACCAGGACATGTGACCATGAGCATCAACTGAGGGGGGAAATGCCTTTTCCTGAGATCTTGCAAGATTTTGCAATTTACAGATGAGATTTCCCAGCAATGCACGGTGATGTAACCTTTCCAGGATGCATCTTTTATGTATGGGCTACTAAAATGCATGGGCTACTAAAATGCAAGAAACCCTTCAAGCAGATTCCGAGAATGGAGATACAGGTGCTATGAGAATAAGCGGTAGGAGACAGAAATATACAGTACCTCCATGGAGATTAGCAGACAGAACAAATGGGTAAGTCTTCAACCAACTCATTACAGCCAGTGTCTCCAGCTGTGGAGGGTCCGTGATCTGAAAAAACTGGTCTGGGAAATTACGATTAAGATCATAATTGTTGCTGTTGTTCCTGCCGACTACCCCGTCACGGTCTCCTGCACAGAAATAAAGAAAGTAAACAAAGCTACTTTGTACTGTGTTGTAATTTAGCAATCTACATCTAGCCTTAACTGCCCAAGCATATAAAGGGAAAAGAAGACTAGAAAGTTTAAAAAGTTTATGAAACACATTACACAGTCCAAGCACAATCCAAGAAATGAAAGGCAAAGCACATTCTCAGGCTTATTCAATAAAGTAGGACAATGAGCTATGAGTGTGTACAAAAAGCAATAACCGGCAGCAATTAGATTAGATTTCAGTTTATAGCAGACTAGCAGGTCAATTATGAATTCAGACTCCTTGCTATGGTTACCTGTCTTGTGAACATTGCTCATTGCTTTACTGGACAAGTCTATATGAACCAGAAGAATACAAATAACAGTAAACTCAGGAGTTAAAATATTAAAAATGCATTCAAGTACCTTAGAGAAGAATTATGGGGAGAGTGAAATACACTCATTCCCAAAATTAGAGCCGATGTGTGACACAGCTGTCACATGTTGGCTGTATAGATCGGGATCATATACCGCTGATCGATCAGCTCCCGATCTAGTTCTCGTTTAACTATTAACAAAAATGTATCTTATTTCTGTATCACTCAATTGTAGATCCTCAAATCATCTCTGAATTGGTGCCGACTCTGGAAGGTGGATACTTTTGTTCTCCATGGTCCTTGTGTGTGTGTGAGATACATTTTTACGATTTAACTCCTGAGTTCAGTGTCACTTTAATTTTCACACTCTCCCTTACTTATCTAAAATAAAAACTGTGTCTGAAAGAACTTGTTATCCCATGCATCTTTTTAGCTTGTTAAAGTGACATCTCTTCGTTTGGTTATTCTCTGTGATGAGGAGTTATCTGTAAGCTCTGTTAGTAAAGCCAGTGATGTAAAAAATTGTGCCATCTAGGTCTCTTTATGGTGTCTAAAAACACTAACTTCATAGGGAGTTTGAAACGCAAATGGACTTTAGCTATTGCATGTAACCTTGCTATCTTATCCTTTACTCTGTAACCAGAAAATCATGTCTGTTACGATAGCATGTACACTATAAACACAGCACCATAAAATAAATGTGTGACTAAAATAGAAACACTTGCCCTACAGCTGTTACCCAAATACAAAACTTGCAATGGGTTGGATACAATTCAGTGTGTGAGTGTGTAGTCCTGAAAAATATCAATAAAAAAAATAAAAATTTACAGTAATAACTGAATTCAACTGCCTGTAAAATTTAGGGAAATAATGCAAGACTTTAATCAATCTTTAATCTCTTTTTATATGAAAGAAACTGACGCTCAAAGCAGTTTTATTTTAACTCAATTTCAAATTATTTTTTGCATTTTCTTTCTTGTTTAACATATAACGTGCTGCAGTTTTTGGAATTTTTTTTAAATTTCAGACTAAGTGAAGCAGATGCAATGGGAAGGGTCATTTTCATTCCTGTTTTCAATCCTTCTATCAGGAGAAATGTGCAGATCTCTGCCATATGCAAACTGAACCCAACCTGGTATATCAATTATTTTGTCTGTAGGGAGAAGAAAGGTGCATTTGTGACTTTACAGCCTTGGTTCTCAACTGGTGGGTCGTGACCCAAAAGGTGGGTCAGCGCATGCCTTCCACTTTTCTAGGCAAGAGGCTCCTCCTCCTCCCCCTAGAGCAGCACTGTCAGTTCTCACGCCAAGCAGCCGTTCAAAATATGCTGACTAGTGCCAAATGTCAGCTTGAGGTGGGGTGGGTGGGATAGCCACAAGGGAGCTCCATCCATACAAGCATTGCTTACAACTCCCTTGCATGTGCTGTAGAGGTGCCTGGACCGGAGTGACATCACATTCTGGCTCTACAGGGCGTGCAAGGGAGCTGTGCAAGCAGTGAAGATATGGATGGAGCTCTGTCACAGCACAGCAGCCCCCACTGGACCCCAGGCTGAGGTTCCACTCCTGTTCTCGATAAGCTAGGGAGACTGGGTGGATCTCTTAAAAAAAAATAAAAAGGTTATTGGTGTGTATGAGAATGTCTGTGTGTGTGTGAGAGTGTGTCTGTCGTGTGTGTCTGTTCACACTAGTACAGTGCGTTAATCACACAGTCTCATGCGATTAACGCATTGTACCATACAAAATCGCAAATTCTGGTGTGGGAGGTGTGTTGCATCGCCATTCATTATAATGGCACCCCAAACGCACTTCCCACCCACAGTTCAATTGCCCGCACCGGAACATGTGGTACCGCAATGCCGTGTGTTCCAGTGCGGTGTGACTTGGGTCATGACTTAATGACCAGGGACAAATGTGGGTAGAATCTATAGTAGAAAGGTAATAATGATAGAATAGGGGTGAGGTAAAAGCAAATATCTGTCCTTCCAGAAATGCTGTAGCAGCACTGTAAAAGCACAGATAAATACTTCCTAAGAATTTTCCTTACCTTCGTGGGCTCTCTCATAGCCATCAGGGTTCATGGAGGGCATAATGTGGATCCTTGTGGTACGGATCAGATGTGTGACCTCAGGGTCAGTCCCATAGTTCTTGCAGAGATATTCAATAAGGTTTAATAGCAGCTCCCGTCCTACAACTTCGTTACCATGCATATTGCCAATGTACTTAAACTCGGGTTCACCTGCAATACAAACGTCACAGAGTTGAGTCCACATATTAACAGGTTGCCAAGTATACTTTGATTCAGTATTATATAAAACATAACATTTAATGGAGCAGCTGAAGACAGATTTGGTGACTGCATGTGGCTATTAGAACCCTATACCAGGTGTTAGTGGTACCCGTGTCATGTTGGGCATGCAAAGCCAATTTCAGTGACACCTGGAAGATTCATAGTCACCTGTTTACAACATTATTTAATATTTCTCATTAAAACAACAGTAGAAAAGTTTATTAAACATCTTCTCCAAGCTGAGGATCCACTGCAGTTCTCGTAAGATAGGAAGACTGGATGGATCTTAAAAAAAGAACAAAAATGTTTAAAAAATTTGGAGCATGCATGTATGTGTGAGAATGTCTGAGTGTGTGAGATTGTGTCTGTGTTTGTGTGTGTCTGTCAGTATTTTTGAGGGCCCGTTCACACTACTACAGTGCGTTAACCACACAGTCCCGTGCGATTAACGCATCTAACCATGTAATCACACCTACCGCGCACTCTGGTGTGGGAGGTGTGCTGCATTGCCATTCATTTCAATGGCACCCCAAACGCACCTCCCACCCACAGTTCGATCGCCCACACCAGAACGCATGGTACCGCTACACCGTGCATTCCAGTGCGGAACGACTTGGGTCACGGCTTAATGACCAAGGAAAAATGTGGGTCCTGAGTTTACACATGTTGAGAACCACTGGTCTAGTGTATGCATGTCACTATTACCAAATTATATTACTCGAGTAAAAAACAAATAAAACCGCTTTGCTATAGATCAAATATTTACAGCTTCCAAGCTCCCGAGTCTACCCTAAAGTTTAGGAAGCCTAAATCCCTTGCTCTCTGGTTTCCAGGAGCATTTTGGGTGTTTTTTTAAAATCAATAGAGGCCACAAAGTCTAGTGTACAGCATATACAGGGTCCCAACAGACACGACTGCTTGTGGCAACATCTTTAATGACGTGTTGGGAGCAGGAAGCTTTCATGCAAATTATGATCCCAACTTTTAGGCTCAGCAAGGTTGGCTACAAACTTTACATGGAATATATAGCAGCTGCATTAGTGCCAGCATAAGGAGTAATTTTAAACTAAACTTCAAAATTGAAATCTACTTACTAAATTAAAAAAAAATAAGAAAAATCTACCTCCTTTACCCTTTGTTTTGAACTATGATACAAATTATCTAATTAAGAAAGCTTGTAGAGGATTGTACTTTCTGTAGAGCACAAAATCCAGATTAAATAAAAAAAAAATGTTCAAATTCCTAAGTAATACAGGCCACAACAAGCAGCACGAACAAAGGCATGGGATTCATTACACAAAGCTGAGAGCATGGCAAAGTCTCCTGTGACTGTTCTTTGTGACTTAGTTTCTGGCAGGGCTTTAGAAAAAGTTACCTGGCTCATGGACATGTGGGTTATCCGATATCGCCATCACATACAGCTCCCGTGACTCCACAGATTTGCCAGCAGAGTACAGATATGTAATGTTGGCATATTCGCTGTTGTACTTTCTCAGGAAGATCTCCATGTCTGAATAGTGATGGTGGCGAAAGTCCTCAGGCTGGAAGGATTTCTGAACAGGAGGGTTGTCCTCAGGTTTAGTAGGGACTGGTGGTTCGGTGGCAGGTGCAGGGGTGCTAGTACTACTTGGCAAGTCAATGGAGGGTGAAATATAACCAGATGGACGAAGCTGGAAATCAAGCACAACTGCTGGCTCATCTTTAACTTCAACATTAGATATAGTTTGTGGTAAGTACCTAGAGGAAGGAAGGTCACAGAAAGTCACCACATACCCAACAATGTATTTTGCTTTAGATGGAGTAGTCTTGGTTTTGTGGTAACGTGAAGAGTTTTATTGTGTACTGGCACTAAGATCATAATAAAAGGAGCTGAGGTGGTTTCCAAATAGTCGAATAGGATGCACCTTTCATTCTTTCCTTATTCAATCAGTTAAGTGAAGCAGAAGTAACTTCTGACTTTGTCTAGAGTCAAAAGTGAAGGTACAGCCCCTCTCTGCAGCCACTGCCCCCTTATGCTAATGTGCCCAGTCAGACCCACCCCTTCACAGCCAGTTTTCAGTCAGGACTATTTCCCCCTTAAAAGAGGCTACATGACAATGATGGTTGCAGATTATGCCAACAAAGCACACAAAAATGTGTATGATGTACAAAAGTTCCCCCTGACTGACATGTACCTCCACCCCTGATGTCCTAGGAGACGGTAAACGCTATACACTGTCTGCCATATATTTTTATTCTTACTCTAGCACATCCATGGATCTGTAACTCTTATTATAAAAAGTACAGAGAACTTGTTAAACGCATTTGCCAACATTTGATCACAGGGAAGGAGTGCAGGCTTTCTTTAATAACAATCAAGGATGAGTCGGTAACCGCTTTCAGCAGATTAGATGGCATGTCAAATGGAGTGTAGAATGGGAAGAAATATTTTTCACAAGGTGAACGCTACTAAGCCTATAGAAGATGTCCCAAGTGTATATCAAGTAAATATTAATTGAAGATTACGCTCTACACTGGTTTAGACAAAATCCATAGCATCATTTCCTTACTAATTTGTACACATATCCGTTCAGGGTAATGGGCCATTTAAAAGAAAACAGACATTTTCATAGTAATCATAAAATAACAAAATACAAGACAATTATGGATTATTTGTGATTTGTATGTAAATACCAATATGTGTCCTATACAGGAAACATCACAAGATATCCGCTCATTGCCAGCCCATTGCAGACTGACTTCTCAATCTGCTCCTGAAGCACCATTAAATACCTGGCATTTTCACATATGGAAGGCACCAATGTACCTCTAGTGCAATGTGGAGTGCCTAGATTTGTAATAGCCAGACCTGAATGCTGTCACGTGGGGTTCATATTTAGCCGTAAGCAAATACTGACATCAGGAATAGGATGTAGACAGAAAATAATTATTCAGCATGTCCAGCGTGTGCATCACAATGTTAATCTGGACACGAATGCAGCAAAATATGTTACTATATCTAATCAGTGCACTGTTGTACCGTGTTTCCCCGAAAATAAGACACTGTCTTGTATTTTTTGGGGATCAAAAAAACACACTGGGTCTTATTTTCGGGGTAGGTCTTATTTTTTTTAATGTACAACTATCCACACCTATTCATGAAGAAAAGTCTACATGTATTCATGTACAAAAATATGGTGATCAGGGCAATCAGGGGTGCCGTACCTTTCCAAGAGCAATTTGCTAACCAATCGCTGGCCAGAATGAGCGAAGCGCACTTTCGCCATCGATTCCTCACAGGCGGAGTGCATTTGGTATCACTCCACCTGTGACAGGAGCCGGCGCTATAGAGGAAGCATCGGGCTTATGTGGCTCTGCTCCCTCCGGTGCTGCCTCGCTTCCTCCATCGCTGGCACCGCTGATTCTCTCCTGCCTCTCCCGCGGCTCTTCAAGTTCCCCCTTATGCCACCACCGGCCTTGGGAATGGTCACAACTAGGTCTTATTTTCGGGGTAGGCCTTATATTTTAACAATTCCCCAAAATAGTACTAGGTCTTATTTTCGGGGAAACAGGGTATGTCCAAATGTTTTTTTTAAAGGTGGCAGGTTCTCTTTAACAAAGAGCACTGCATGTAAATGTTTTTATAAATAACAAAGAAGCAAACAGAATCTCAAAGGACACTCTTAAAAATCAATATGTCAAAGGATGAATGTGACCACTTACCCAACAACTGAAGCAGTGATATTGTATGTCCCAGGAGCTAGCAATCTCTGAAAGTTCCCTAGCTTCCCAGTTGTGATGTTATGGTCAATACCAGACACAGAAATTGTGGCATTCTCAATCCCTTTTAGAGTAACAGAATCTTTCACATATCCTTGTGCTCCTATGTGTACCTATATACAAACAGAAGGCAGGGAAAGTCTAAATAAACAGTATTGCTGTACAGTTACATTGTACACTACTCAATACAAGGTCATCAAGACATGGAAAGCAGAGTATGGTATGAATGACCATGGGTATGATCCATACAATGGCCATAAATTTGCTTTTTTTTTTTTTAAAAAAAAGGACATTTATAAAACACAGCAGAGCGCTATTCTTCCGAGTTAAGCTGGCCATACACTGTTTTATTTATTTTTTTTGTTCAACCCGCGGGCTGAATGAAAAAAAGAAGAAGATTCATCCATCATTGTTTACAAGCCCCGACTGTCTTGGTTGGAGTTAATTGGCTGCCCATTCAGTTCAGTCGAAGATTTTCCGACCGGCTCCTTTGATTAGCTGATCAAGGCATGCCGGCCGTATCAAAGTTATATATCTATACACACACACACACACACACACCCACACACACACACACACACACCCACACACACACACACACACACCCACACACACACACACACACACACACACACACACACGTTATTATAAGAACATTATTAGCAAGTACAAACAATACTTGTCAGAAATGTTGTGTTATTTTTAGTTGATGTGAATTGAAATGAAACATCAAATGACAACAATTAAACAAATCAAACAATATTATTTTCCTTCCAAGCTATCTTCTGTCAAACTACTAATTCCTCTACCATGCCAATTCATTGTAGTTGAAGTGAATGTAGTGAAAATCAGGAAAGCAGTCTAGTGACAACCATGGCTCTCTCCATAAATACAGAGGAGGAGTGAGGAGTGTAGCCAAACAGGGGCAGAAAGTGTGTTATTCACAGGATCATCAAGAAGAAAGAGGGGGAAAAAAAGTCTCAAAAACAAATGCAGCCACCTCAACTAAGGACTTGTAAACTGCAACATCTTACATTTGGGGTTGATACGCTTTATACTAGGGTACCCTGCTGCCCCTCTGAAAAAAAGTGTACCTAGCAATGATGTCACAAACAGTAACAAAAGTTCTAGAGGTCAGAGGAAGTTTTGGGAGGTTAATTTGGATCAGATGTGGAGATGACCTTTGAATACTTGTGTGCCATTCAATTTGTCATGCGAGATGCAGGATTCATATTGCCGTGCCCTGGTACTACGAAGGACTGACAGATGTCTTACCTCCCATTATTCTTAAAAGGATAATTAAACCCTTAGGGGGTTTTGAATATATCTACTGCTAGCAAGCAGTAAATACTGTACACTGAGTGGCCAGATTATTAGGACCACCCCATCAGTACTTAGTTGGGCCACCTTTTGCCTTCAATACTGCGGCGATTCTTCTTGGCATTCACTCCACGAGATGTTGCAAGGTGATGCGAGGAATCTGACACCATGCCTGATGAATAGCACTGTCCAGTTCTGTGAGATTCGATGGTTGTGGAACCAGCTGCCTGATGGCTCTTTAAACTTCGTCCCACAAATGCTCAATTGGATTGAGATCTGGCGATTGTGGGGGCCACCTAAGCAAGGTAAAGTCTCCCTCATGTTCTTGAAACCACTGCTGCACAATACGAGCACCGTGGCATGGCGCATTGTCTTGTTGGAAGAAGCCATCTCCATTGGGATATGCCATCAACATGATAGGATGAACTTGATCAGCAGCGATACTTTGGTATGTTGTGCTATTCAGACGTTGTTCCACGCGAATTTAAGAGCCCAAATCATGCCAGGAAAACATGCCCCAAACCATAACACTGCCCCCACCAGCTTGAAGGGTTATACTCATGCATGTGGGGTGCATGCTTTCATGCTGTTCCCGCCAAATTCTCACTCTGCCATCTGCATGATGCAACTGGAAACGCGATTCATCGGACCACATGACCTTTTTCCAATGCTCGACTGTCCAATACTTGTGTTCCTGTGCGAATTGGAGACGTTTTATCTGGTTAACTGCAGACAGCAAAGGTGTTCGAGCAGGCCTTTGGCTTCCATATCCCATACGATGCAGTGTACGGCGAACAGTGCATTCAGAGATCATTTGAGAGGATCCCTGATTAAGATCTGCAGTCATTTGATGCACTGTTGCCCTTCTGTTGTCTTGTACCAGTCTTGCCACTCTCCGTTCTGCCCTAACATTGACTAGTCGCTGACGGCCACAATTCGCACGTTCAGACCCAGATTTTCGGCTCACAGTCCAGTCTTCAAACACTTTAACAACAGCTGCTCTTGAACATTTAACGAATTCTGCTGTTTTGCTGATACTCGCTCCATGGCTCCGAGCGCCAACAATCATCCCACGTTCAAAGGCTGTTAAATCGCGTTGTTTACCCGTATCTTCAGAAAAAAATCACTTCTACTGTCGTGGTAAACAACCTGCTTCCCTATTTATAATGGCCTGGCCCTCTAGCAAGTTCGGCGCGAAATTATAGCTAATTTGCCTACAAACGTCAGGTGGTCATAATAATCTGGCCACTCAGTGTATATGCAAAAAGACGCATTAAAAAAAAAAAAAGTTACGAAAATGTTTAAACTTACCTGTGTCTCCGCCGCTCGCTCCCTTTCAAAGATCTATAAAATCTCGGGTGGTTGCAAAGGATCATGGGGCAGATGCATGCGCGGTACAGATCTTCGGCCGGGAGACGAGGAGAGACACAGGGTAAGTTAATGCACGCAGCTCAGCAGTGAGCATGAGCACAGACTCCGTGGGACAGTAAGATACAGCAGCCAGTGCTGGCTCAGAGACCGGCACCAGCGCTAGAGGGACTGTTGAAAACTACAGCAAAGAAGATGATCAGATAAGGAGTCATCATTTGAGGTATGACACTAGCATTGGGGGACATTACCATTTCCATAAATGTTAGCAGAGACTCTTTATTGTTATTCCACTCCTGAGCGAGTTCAGATGCCGGTGGGTACTTGCAGCACGACAGTTCAAACGTCACTTCCAAGCAGTTTCCCCTGATGTAATTGTAGTCTTGCATTCCACCTACAGAGGACACAAATCAGACAGTACATAAAAAAACAATATTATGAAGAATATGCACAGTATGTAATGGATTCTATCCCTATACATTTGCAACGCAAACAGCAAAGCCTAAGGCCTGGTTCACACCTAGGCGTTTTTGAGCAGTTGGAAAAGCGCTTTTACAACACAAGAAATCCCATGATTTTCTATGGCCCCTGTTCACACCTGAGTAGCCAAACGCCCAAAAAGGTACATGAGCTTCTTTGGCCACTTAACGTCTTTGCTCCATAGACTTCAATGGAAACACCCGAAAACGTGTGGCAGAAGCATGTTGCACATTTTCGTGCGCGTTTGTACGTGCGTTCATCCACTGCCCGCAATGTTTCAAAAGCGGTCAGTCAAAATGCGCATCTTCATGTACGCGCATACAAACACACATCAAAATATGCACCACGCACATAAAACGTGCAAATAACCGCTCACTATAAAAATCGGCCAAAAACTATGCCGCCTAGGTGTGAACCCAGCCTAAGACCCAGGCATTTCAGCAACAGAGCACATAATTGCAACAATACAGAAAGACAAGATGCCAGTTCCAGTGACTTACCCTAGACATTATTTCATTGAGTAAGCTTATTCAAAAAGGACAAATCCGCCCATACACGCATGGAAAGAAGCCTTTCATTAAGCCGTGGAAGCAAAGAGAACCTTCTAGATAACCGGCAATACAGTCCCATTATATCTAACAATTACCTTTTAATGTTAATCACTAATTGTCTCATTGTTGGGGCAGTTGCTTACACTGCAAAAGCCACGCCCATAACTAGAATTTGTTGTCCTCCAAACCCCAGGCTCAACTGAAGGAGATCTGTGACCTACAAGAACAACTCGATCCTTCTACACACTGGATTCATCCAATAGTGTTCTTTGTTAGGATATAAGCAACCAGCTAAAATGGAACTCCAGGCAAGAATAGTAATCTTAGCATCTAAACGATAAGCCTCACATACTGTATATGTCCTACCACATTCTAATAGCATATGTACAGTGGAAGTTTCACCCAAATTAACTTAGAAATAATAGAATTTACACTTGTCTAGCTGATTGGTAATAGTTAAAATTTGAGTAAGAATAGCAAAAATTAAAATTCTGCTTTCGTGGTCACCTACCCTCACTTAGTTGGAGAATTTTCAATGTGTTAGAAGTGATGCATCTAGACATTGCTTCCAATGATCAGTTGCCATGAAGGGTTTCCTGAGAAGGAGATAAGTGCTTTGAAAATCCAGAGGCACGTGTCAAAATCTTCTAGGGAAACCTTACATGGCTGATAGTTGTCCATTCAACATGGCAGTGTCTGCTTATGCATCTAATTTGTGGCTTGTAAATCAAATATACAACACGATCACACTGTATGATACGACAGGTTAAAAACCATGAAATTATTTAAAACAAAAAAAGAAAAAAAGGTTATGTCTGCTAGAGAAGCAAGGAGTAAGCTCGGGCCGCAAGTGCAATATCACTATACCCAACAATACGCAATACAGATGTCTGAGCACACTGACTGATGGCATGCAGACTCCGGTCATACACAGCAATACTTGGCTGCTGTTATCCTTATTTTCTTAATAGTCCGGAATTCAATATCATGAAAATCCAGGCCAAATGTTTCTGGATCTGAGCTCAAAATGCTGTCGTTTTTTAGAGAGGTAGACTGAACAGCAGATATACAAGGCTGCATTCACATATAACATTTGTGATTCCACGTGGAAGACCATGTGGGAAGAAAACGCTAATATTTTTCAATCTGGACGGATGCCGCTCGTTTGCGGCTATTAAATAGCTTAACTGATCGGAAGTCGATTAATCGATTATTGAAAAAGTTGACAACTTTTTCAATAATCGATTATGTCGATTAGTTGTTGCAGCCCTAATAGCTACAGAATCCGCCGGCTTATCATGATTGCACTATTTCGATCGACCTATGGTGTGAACGATGAACATTGAAGTGCATTGTATTCTCTGTTTAGAGCGGCTCTGCGCAGGCGTGAAAAGAGCCTGACTGCAGTTTTGCCCAGGAGCAATATAAAAAAACATGCTGAATCCTGCATCACATTATATTTAGAAGACATTCTGATTTTTAAGCGACTTTGAAATAATTAACAGTACAGTCAATTTGAAATAGCGTGTTCACCCCTCAATACCCTTTCCAACCTGGGTCTGCAGTATCCCAGAGACCTAAACACCTCCCCTGCATTCTATCATGCCAGTATTACTACACATTTTAATTGATTGCACCGTTACTCATTTAAAGAGATAAGATGTAGATATTTCAGCTTTAGTACAGTTGCAATGTTTCATCCATTAATAAGCAGGTTCCCAAGTGAATTTACTTGCAAGCTTTGTTCTTCAATATGTTATAAAGAGCTAAATCAATAGCACAAATGTATTTTTTTCCCATGATGCATTCTATAAAATTGTACTTAAACAGTTCTTAGTGGGTTAAACTTATTAATTCAGACTTAAGCTAGCCATACACCTTACAATTATCTGCAGATTTTCTATGGGCAGATGGAAAAAGTGCAACAGATTCCTCCATCTACGCTAAACTGTGTGGATGGAGGAATCTCCCACTGGGCCAAGCTTAAGTATCTTGCACTTTTTCCATCTGAACATAGAAAATCTGCAGACAGACAATCTATAGGTGTATGGTCAGCTTAAGATTAAACAGTGCTTGATGTACCTGATCTGTGGACTAGCCTTAGAGAACTAGTGAAATTAAATCCTTTTCATTGTGACTTCTACAATAAAATAACAGAAGCTCTAACAACAACATCTATGATCTTTGTTCCATGCCCCATATCAAATTGGAGTAAAAGAAAAGCATATTGGTTACAAACAGCTAACAAACAGGTGTTGTGTTACATTCACCAACAAAGAGACAGGTCCCCATTGTCCTCTCTTCCAGTATTACACAGCAGGCAAATTGTCATTCATACAGATGTTCAGATGTCACACAGTACTGCATTGTACTAAACTGATAAAGAACAATTGTTGACAGGGATTTGTGAATTGTAAGCTCACCAGTATTACCACTGGCACAACCATCCATATAGGATCACAAGGTGCAGAATAACAGACACAACTGATAATGGTTAATTCATTCGACCCATGTTGAGCCACAAATAATCCTAAACAAGGTAAAAAGTCAATGTGCTATTTTATCAAATGAATGTCAGCCCAGAACAGTGAACCAATAGAAAGGTTAACTAAAGTTTAAACTTTATGCTAACATTACTCAGGGCTAGGCTGTAAAGGTAAACGCTATTCAGGACGGTGAACAAGGGAAAGTTACAGCTCGTCCGTATAACAGAAGCAAAATGGAGCATAAAGAAGCCAAGATAAATATTAGCAATAATGCAGGTATAGTTCTACGTATAGCTTTCATCCAAATCTGACTTTACGGAGTTTGCTACACGATTTCCAAACATGGTTTAAACATCCATAAAGTTAGGAACCTGAGTGTGCATATGGGATTTGTCAGTACAAACCAAGGTTTGCTATACATGGTCTGATCACTGCAAGGGAAGGAAACAATTCGGCATCAGTTTGAATGGTCAGGTGACTATCTGGCAGCACAAAAGTTCATGATAGACGATGATTGAAAGTGGTTAGGAGGCTTGGGAGGTGTTTTTCAGGATGCCCCGGGAACCTCTGTTCCCCTAAACAAGGCTGGCCATACACTGCTTAGATTTTCTAAAGAACTTTTGTACAAAAGATCTTTCGTTCGACCTTCTAGGAGTTGATGGGGTCACATCAACAATCAATTTCGACCGAAGTGATGAAAAAACTCGAAGGAGCAGGATGGAAATTTTTTTCTTGAACAAATAAAATTTAGAGAATGTGGTTTTCATTAGGGAAACTCCATTCATTCCAATGTAAAACTCCAGTGTGTGATGGCATTATTGGGTGGTAAAGAAAGATCTTTTGGGAGAAAGTTCGTTTGGAATTCCACCAGTGTATGGCCGCCTTAAGGCTGGGTTCACACCATTTTCCGGACCAGATCTGGAACATAGTGCATTGCATTTTTGCCACGCTTGGAATTTAGCTTAAAATGGTCTTACAGGTGCGTTCCAGTGCCTTCCAGATGTTTTTGACGTGTTCCAGACCAGATAAAATAGGACAAGCAGTATTTTTCTAGTGTGGTCTGGAACGGACTGCGCTGGTGGGAACAGAAGCCATAAAATAGCATAGGGATACATTAGGATGCATTTTGGGTCTGGAGGTAATCTGGATGTGGTGTGAATGGACCCTTAGATTAGCCACATACTTAGATTTTTTTCTTGATGGGCTGAACAAGAAAAAAAAAAAAACCCCACCTCTCAATTCCCCCATTCATGCTAACAGCATGGAGGGGTGGTTAAGGAAGATAACTATAATGGACTCTTGACCACTGGTAACTATCATCATCACATACAAAGATTTTTTCAATACTGTAGTCTCCAAGCAACCAATAGCCCCACAGCACTCCCTTTCACATAAGGAATATGTAAAAGAAAGTAAACAGCTTTCGACAAGTGCAACATTGTCGAAAGGGGAGAATATTATAGTGCGTGCCTATCGTGAGATTGGTATAAATGTGATTTCTCACCACTCGCTCTTTTCTGTGACAACCTATCACCGTATAGATCCAACACCTATTTCAAGCATTTTTTTTTTTTCTATTCGCACCCTCAATCCTGCAAATCATGCATGCAGGGACAACCCCATTCTATTGTATACTCTACTATATAAACATTTTTTTTAAATAAAAAATTAATTAATTAAAAAAACCCTCTCTCTGAAGTGTGTCAGTCCCTCAAAAAATAAGTGACATTTGCATGTGTTAAAAAGCAAAATCTTGCTGAGGTTATGAACATATTTTCACACACAGCAAATAGTTTAGAATTGTGATCCCAGAATAATTCTATCCTTCAGAAGCTGTCAGTGGTATCAAGAACATTGCAAGAGAACATCAATCGGCT